ATTGAGCACCCATGGATTTATATGAAGCTGCTGGGAGAGATCATCCACAGTCATGGGGTAAAGTGTTGTCAGTATACTGATGACACCCAAATATATTTCTCCAGGCCTTCCAAAACAGCTTCAGCTAAGGATAGTGTGTCTCCTCTGAATGAATGCTTGGATGAAGTAATGGGCTGGATGAGGAAAAACAAATTGAAACTGAATCCAGACAAAATAGAAGTGCTTGCCATCAGGGGTCCTAATTTGGGGATAGAGGTGTGTCAACTAGTCCTGGATGGGATTACACTCCCCCTGAAAGACTGTCTTCACAGCTTGGGGGTGCTCCTGGATCTGTCCCTCCAAATGTCAGCTCAGGTAGAAGCGATGGTCAAGAGTGCTTACTATCAATTTCGGCTGATACACCAGGTGCGCCCTTTCCTAGATTTGGAGGCTCTGAAGATTGTGGTGTATGAACTGGTAACATCAAGGCTGGACTTCCGAAATGTGCATTATATTGGGCTATCCTTGTACCAAGTTCAGAAACTCCAGCTGGTTTAAAATACGGAAGCCAGATTGGTTAGTGAAACATCTAGCAGTGAGCATATTACACCTATCACTCCACTGGCTGCCAATTAGTTTCCAGGAAAAGTACAAGGTGTTGGTTTTGACCTTTAAAGCCCTACATGGTTTGGGTCCAGGTTTCCTCCAAAATCACCTTCTCCTGTACCATCCTCCATGCACACTTTGGTCTTCAAAGGGGTGTCTGCTCCAACCAGCCAGAACCCAACTGGCAATCGTAACCCAGAGGACATTTTCATCGGCTGCCCCACAACTGTGGAATGAGCTGCTGGAAGAACTCCGATAGCTAAATGAATTATCAGAATTTTAAAACTATGTATCTCTTCTGGCAGGCCTACTCACACAATCTTCAAACATGTATTTTAAATGTGTGTCCTTTGTTTAATCTCTGTTTTACGTATTTTAAATATGTATTTTATAGAGATATGTTTTGGTGTGTAGCTTTTATAGAAGTAGGTTTTAATATGTGTATTTGTAATGTTTTTGCTCTGCTTATGTATTTTAATTGTTCTGTAACCCACCTCGAGCCATGAGGAGATGTGGGTAAGAAATAAAATTGTTGTTGTTGTTATTTGATACACAACAAGATTAGTTCACAGCAAACATGATCACTCTGCTGGCTGTTGTATTGGATCACATGTCAGACACTTCAGAAGTGTCTAGGACTATGTGATATATCGGCAAATAATGTGTGCAGATCCACACATTAATAATTAATAATGTGTGCAGCTGACAGATGGTAATTGTGTCAGCAAAAATACCACAATTACACATATTAAAACCTTCTTTAAGTGCAGGCCAAGATGCCAGTCATCACTGGGACCACCTTTACTGTCTTGTGCCAGAGTCTTTCCAGCTTGATCTTTAAATCCTCATATTGTGTCAGGTGTTCCAGTTGCTTCTCATCAATTCTGCTGTTGCCTGGAATTACAACATCAACGAGCCATACTTTGTTTTTGTTTTTTTTGCACAGTCATGAGGTTGCGAGTATGGTGCTCCAAAATTCCGTCAGTCTGAATTCGGAAGTCCCAGAATAGTTTAACGTGTTCATTTTCTGTAACATTTTCAGGCTTATGATCCCATCAGTTCTTTGTCATAGGCAGATTGTATTTGTGGCACAAGTTCCAGTGGATCATCTGAGCAATGGTATTATGCCTCAGCTTATAGTCAATCTGCGCAATTTTCTTGCAGCAGCTGAGTATGTGATCCATCGTTTCTTCTGCTTTCTTGAAGAGTTTACATTCGGAATCTGTCTTCAATAATAATAATAATCATCATCATCATTTTACTGACACAAAAGCACAGTATGACACAGCAAATGAGAGATATATGCTGGATTTTATATCACAAAATCACAAGTCGAACACTTCCCAAGCATTTAGGACTGTGTGATGTATTTTTGAATGGTACGCAAAAATCCAAGTAAGGTGGCCTTTTGCAGTTGACAGATCATGATTTTGTCAATGTTTATTGTTTTCAAATGCTGGCTGAGATCTTTTGGCACGGCACCCAGTGTGCCGATTGCCACTGGGACCACCTGTACTGGTTTATGCCAGAGCCTTTGCAGTTCAGTTTTGAGGTCCTGATAATGGCTGAGTTTTTCCTGTTGTTGTTTGTCAATTCAATTGTTGTTGTTGTTGTTGTTGTGGTATCTCCAGGGATCCTGAAACCAAGCTCCAGTGGAAACTAAGGACCCACTGTATACACCTTGGAGTTTCTCTTCTGATTCTTGCTGTCCTAAAACACATCACTCACTAATGGGTATGGACCTCAGAAATGGGCTCAGATTCCGACTCATAACAGACATAGCCAGGATAACTAAGGAGGCATCTACACTGTAGCATTAATGTACTTTGACATAATTTGATCTGCTGTCACTCAGTGCTATGGAATCCGGAGAATTATACTGTAGTTTGGTGAGGTGAATGACCTTATAAAATAACAACTCCCATGATTCCATAATACTGAGCAGTTAAAGTGATGTCAAACTGCATTAGTTATACAGGAAAGATGTCATGTACCTTAAGTTATTCGACTTGCATTTTTTTACACACGCTTACAAATAAGTTCTAATATATTCAATGAGGCTTGTGTCTAAGTGGATGTGGGTAGAATTGCATTTTAATACATGCTTTGTATGATATTATCATTACAGAAGCCTACAACTCAAGAACAACTGTTGAATAGGAATGTGTCTCAGTGTATCAATACCCTAAGAGAAACAGTGTAGTACAGCCCATTTCAAAATGTGATACACCTGCCTGAACGGATTGTTTCATTATACTAACCTTGTAACATTTAAAATTCATCACTATGTCATTTTTACTTGTCCTATGATGCCTTTTAAAAACTCCTGATAATCAGATGCATATTTTTAATCATTTACTTTGGGGGCAGGACTCAGCTTGCTGTCTCTACCAGAAATCTGGCATCTCTAGAAATAACAAAGAAGCATACAAGGCTTGAATGAAAAGTAATGCCTCCACCTTCGTAACTCCTCAACAGATGGCAGTACTGGTATGCGGCAGGTACTGGCTTGTTCAGTAGACTCTCCTCTACAGTTCCATTTTGGCAGGAAGCCTTAGCATTGAATGGTTGTGTTGTTAAAGTGTGAAGTATGGAACCCTGTGCAGACATTCGGTCAATGCGACTTAAGCAACATGCAGTCATTGAATTCTTGACAGCAGAAGTGTCACCAAAGAGAATGCAAGCTGTTTATGGTGATTGTGTTGATGTGAGTACTGTGCATCATTGGGCGAGTAAGTTTAAAGATGTTGAGGTGGGAACATCTGACTTGCATGACAAACAAAGAGTTGGATGTCCTGTGACAGCAACCACCAAGTTTCACAAGCAAAAGGTTGACAGATTGATTCAGGACTATTGTCGTATCACTCAGAGAGGAATTTCAAGCATAATCGGCATTTCACAAGAATGTGTGGGTCACATTATTGCTTTCCTTGGCTATCAGAAGATCTTTGCACGATGGGTACCCAGGATGCTGACGCCTGAAACGAAAGCACACAGACTTGAAACTTCAGAGACTGGATCTCACCACCGTACGACATCCTCCATACAGTCCAGATTTAGTACCATCTGACTTCTATTTGTTCCCGATAGTGAAAGAAGATCTGCGGGGACATCATTATGCTTCTGATGAAGACGTTGAGAGAACTGTGAGGCTCTGCTTGTGGAAACAGAGTGTCGACTTCTTCTGTGCTGGCTTCAGAAAACTTGTTCATTGTTGGCAGAAATGCATCCAATTGTCTGGTGATTATGTGGAAAAGTGAATAGTGGTAGTTAAAGAACGCATTCTAAGGATTATTTCTGCATTTGGTTTATTAAAATATTCCTATCCAAATCCAAGTAATGAAGGTGGAGGCAGTACTTTTCATTCAACCCTTGCATTGGCATAATCTTTGTTCCTAACAGTTCAAAAAGATAACCATGTACATCAGTCTAACAATTGAGAAACCTAATTTGCCTTGCATGAACACTAGTGGATATTACAACTAAAGAGAAGATTCACTCAAATGAGTTTTTAACTCTTCTCAGGAATCATAACCTTTACAAAAAGGTTGTGATTATTCCAAATGGTGTGAGTGCCAATTAATCTCCAAAAAAGTCTTACTTCCAAAAGGCTTTGGAGATTCTAGTTTTCCAAAATGTCAAAGATTATAATTTCCCAAAATATACAATATTTGTAAATAATTTAGTGCATGACATAAAGTGTATACCCTTAAACTATCAGAAAGCAAAGATGTCATCTCAGCCACTCATGGGGACAATTTGGCTATTTGGAGTATGTTGAAATTCCAGTTAAGGAATGCTTAATCGCTTTTGGCATTGCCATTTTTTCTTCAGAGGGAACTGTGAACCGCAGGCTCACCGACTGAGGATAGATTGCCTCATTTTACCTAGCTTTGAGATCTAGAAGAGCTCCTGCTCACCATATATCTGCAGTAATTTGGAAGGGGGCAGGGAAGCAAGAAATATGATCTCTTTCCTAAGGTTACATTTAATAAGTTCCTGAACCATGACAGAAGAAAACACAAAGAAAACAGGACAGTGAGAACTCTCCTCTGAGATGTAGCCAGTACTTGGAAATTACTTATTTGGACTACAAGTCCCAGAATCCCCACAGCCTGTATGGCCACTGCTATGTTGACTTGAGAATTCAGGGAGCTATTGTCCAAAAATCAACTTTTCCAAGATGTGAGATGGGGATATGTGGGAGAACATGTGGAAAGGGATGTCTTACCTTCTGTTCTCTTCGGTCTGGAACATATTGCTACAGGTGCATAACATTATAATTTAGGAACTTTAGAACTACTGCAATTTTCAAATACGTATTTTTTAAACAATCATAGTTTGCATTCCACATTTGGAAACTTTGAGCCTGGATTAAAGAGATACTAGAAGACAATTGACAGGGAGAGTTGGCATGAATAACTTCCAGGTTTATTTTCCAAGCTATTGTACATATTCTAAAATAGAATACTCCCATTTGGATAAAAATAACTGTAGACATCTCTTGCTTCTCTCAATTTCATCAGAGGAGACAAAGTGTTTCAAAGGGACTATCCTACAGAGAGGAAAAGCATAAAAGTGGATATTAGTAAACTGTATGAGCTATTTATTAGAATTATGTATTATAACAGCAGATCATCACTAAGTAAAATAAATCAGGTAGGTATCCATAAACAGAGGTCCTTGCCAGGTAAACAAGAGCCTCAGTTTTTAATTCAGTGATCTGGGACTAGGGGTGAGTCTATACTGGAGAATAAATGCAGTTTGAAACCACTTTAACTGCCATGGCTCAGTGTTATGGAATCACAGGAGTTGGTTTGCTGAGGCACTCTTTGGCAGAGAAGGCTAAAGACCTTGCAAAACTATAACCCTCAGGGTTCCATCGCAGTTAAAATGTGGTGTCAAACTGCATCAATTCCACAGTGTAGTTGCACCCTAAGTTCAGTTGAACTGACTTCTATATAAATCAGAAAAGAATTACAGCTTAGGTAAAGGTAAAGTTTTCCCTGACATTAAGTCTAGTTGTGTCCGACTCGGGGCGGGGGGTGGGGGGGGTGCTCATCTCCATTTCTAAGCCAGAGCTGGTGTTGTCTATAGACACCTCCAAGGTCATGTAGCCGGCATGACTGCCTGGAGCGCTGTTACCTTCCTGCAGAAGCTGTACCTATTGATCTACTCACATTTGCATGTTTTCTATTTGCATTCTGCTCTGAAGCCGGTTTGAAATGAGTCAAGGAAGTGTGTGTCATTCAAAACAGCCTGAATTTAGGGGGCAACTGCCTTCTCAATCACCTTGTCCAAAAAAAGGAAGGTTAGACACTGGTCTGTAATTATTGAGGTCCAGGTGATCCAGAGAGGGCTTTTTTTTTCAGTGGTCCAACTGTTGCTTCTTTTAAACAGGATGGGAAATTTCCCTCTCTGAGAGATGCATTAATAGTAATTTATTGTATTTGAGAGCGAATTGCATTTACTCCCCAAACACCCAGCCAAAAGGGGCAGAGATCAAAAAAGACAACCAAGTGATAGTCTGATATCAACACTGTCTTGACTTTTTGTTCTCTCCTCCTTGATATTGTCTTCTTATTCTCTTGTCTCCTTCAGTGTAAGAACGTAGTTCTAGTGAGAAATGACAATGCCAGAACTAAACAGTGCCAGAAGAATGTATTGCATTTCTTGCTCCAGGGAGCTATACAAGTTTTACCTGTTTCACCCTCACAACAATCTTGCAAGGGTATCTTAAGGCTGATAGAGAATGGCTGTTCTAAGGCTATGTGTGGAAACACCGTGTGTCATTGTTTCAAGCCACTGAAACAATAATAATGTCTGGATATGCTGGAATCTACCCTGAGCCCCTTTGGGGAGATAGGGCGGAATATAAAAAAACTGTTGCTTTTGTTGTTGTTGTTGGTGTTGGTGTTATCCAGCAAGTTTCATGGCTGAACAGAAATTGGGATAATCTTACACACAGTTTGGCACCTTAGCCATATTATCACAATTAGGCTGTAATTAGGGCCCTCTGGTGGCACAGTGGGTTAAACTGTTGAGCTGCTGAACTTGCTGACCGAAAGGTTGGCAGTTCGAATCCAGGGAGCGGGGTGAGCTCCTGCTGTTAGGCACAGCTTCTGCCAATCTAGCAGTCCGAAATGTGAGTAGTTCAATAGGTATCACATCGGCGGTAAGGTAACAGCGCTCCATGCAGTCATACTGGCCACATGACCTTGGAGGTGTTTACGGACAACGCCGGCTCTTTGGCTTAGAAGTGGAGATGAGCACCACCTCCTAGAATCGGACACTAGACTTAATGTCAGGAGAAACCTTTACTTTGCCTATTATTATTATTATTATTATTATTATTATTATTATTATTATTATTATTATTAACATAACAGGATGAGTCCACAGCAGACACTCTGCTGGCTGTTGTGTTGGATCACACGTCGGACGCTTCCCAAGTGTCTAGGACTGTGTGATGTATAAGCAAATAATGTGTGCAGAACCCAGTAAGGTGGCCTTCTGCAGCTGACAGATGGTAATTTTGTTAGCGCCGATTGTGTTTAAGTGCAGGCCAAGGTCTTTAGGCACTGCACCCAGTGTGCTGATCACCACTGGGGCCGACCACCTTTACTGGCTTGTGCCAGAGTCTTTGCAGTTTGATCTTTAAATCCTCATATTGTGTCAGCTTTTCCAGTTGTTTCTCTTCAATCCTGCTGTCACCTGGGATTGCAACGCCGACAATCCATACTTTGTTTTTTAACACAATCGTGAGGTCAGGAGTATTGTGCTCCAAAACTCTGTCTGTCTGAATTCAAAAGTCCATTACTACTACTACTACTACTACTACTACTACTACTACTACTATATCTTCAACAAGAGGAAGCCTGTTTCTATGCTGCTTGTTTGTATATATATATTATCTCTTTTATGTGTATATTCAAAATCTGGTGAATGTCTTTCTTGTGTGGAAGATGACCATTGCAGGAAAATTCAGAGGCTATCAATGTTTCACTGTCACATACTTCATTCGGCAAGTGGCATATTTCTGCCTGAGGTGAGAGGAGGAAGGAAGAGCTAGCGTATTCTTACTTCTGACGACTGTATGCCTGGAGTAGTACTTAGGCTGAAAAAACAAGCTGTTTTGATTCTGCGATGCTGGCTGGAAACCTCCCACAGGAAAATTCCTTTTCAGGCTCCAAATTCCTTCCAGAGCAACTATTCATATAAAAACAATGACATTAGAATTAAGGACCCACTTTTCCCTCCTCAAAAGAAACTAATTAATACCCACAAATGGAAATAGCTGCGCGGCCATTGCAATCATATCACTCTGGGTTTAGGAGGAACCTTCAAAATATTCTGACAGGCAACAATGGAGTAATTTAGCCTTATAATGCACTGTTTCAGTGGAAAAGAAGAAAGGCTCACAACCACAAGCAAATAACAACATTAACATGGTAGCTATGTTATTCCTTAGTAGATTTTCAAGAACTAAGTGTGATTTAGTAATGACAGACAGGGTTTGCCAAAAGAAGTTTCCTTGTTAGAGGTTGTAGATATAAATAATAAAAGCTTTACCACTGTTTCTGAACCAAAATATACCCTGCAGAATAATAATGTCTCACTCGGATTTGTGTAACGAGTAACAGTAACTTTACTTCAGTTCAAAAGGCCAAACAGAGCCACAATTCTTACAAAGAACAGAGGGAATAAACAGTCCTTTTAAATGGTCTTTAAAATATGCTTCATGCCTTAGAAATGATCAGGCTTCAGAGAGTTGGCAGCCATTTCCTTCCTGGCTGTTTCCAGTCAGCGCTCTCTTCACTCTCTGAGGTGAAAATGGCAATTAAAACCATTCCTCTCAGCAGCAAGCTAGAGACAGTAGCTAATCAGAATTCTGGCTCCTGGCATGCTCAGCCAATCAGCTGCCGACACATGTCTTTCTAGTCAATCCATTTACTTCATGGTGCCTTTTTACAAATCCTCGCATTCCTCACAGGGCTCTAGTGGCCCTGGGCTACTGGGCTGCAGTCAGTCCTTTCGTGAGAATGAACATGCATGTGATAGTTGGGCATGCATGACCATGAGAACAAACCCAAACACAATAAGGGCATTTCTCCTGGTATTTCCTCTGCCTTTTCATCTCCCATCCTTGTCCTTCTGGTTAGGTTATTGAAAAATGTGCTTTTTCGAAAACACATAAAACAATGTATTAATGGCCTTCCCTTTCCTGCAGTAATTCAATAGCCAGTTCTGGTACAGATGTCTCATAGCACTTTCTTATGTCCCTTCTACACTGCCAGATAATCCTGGCTATCACAGCAGAAAATCCACATTATCTGATTTGAACTGGATTATCTGAGTCTACACTGCAATAGAATCCAGTTCAAAGCAGATAATGTGGATTTTATACAGCTACTAGCTGTGCCCTGCCACGCGTTGCTGTGGCCTATAGTAAAACTTATCAAAGTTGAGGTAGATATCTGGACTATTATGAAAGAGAGGTACCTACCTATTCCTTCCCCCTTTTCCTCCCCCTTTCTCTCCTTTCTTCCTTCTCTACCTCTTTCTTTCTTTCCTTCTTTCACTACTTGGTTTCATCCTTCTCTCTTTCCTTCATTCCCTCCCCCTTTCTTCCTTTGCCTTTCTTCCCTCCCTGTTTGCTTCCTTCTTTCACTTTTTATTTCCTTTTATTTCACCACGGGGGGAGTGGGGTTGCGTGTGTGTGTGCGGCGGCGGGGGGGTGGATGGAGCGTGGGGTTGCGTGTGTTGGCGGCGGGGGGAATGATGGAGCGTGGGGTTGCGTGTGTGTATGCGGCGGCGGGGGGAGTGATGGAGCGTGGGGTTGCGTGTGTGTGTGCGGCGGCGGGGGGGAGTGGGGTTGCGTGTGTGTGTGCGGCGGCGGGGGGAGTGATGGAGCGTGGGGTTGCGTGTGTGTGTGCGGCAGCGGGGGGAGTGGGGTTGCGTGTGTGCGTGCGGCGGCGGGGGGAGTGATGGAGCGTGGGGTTGTGTGTGTGTGTGCGGCGGCGGGGGGAGTGGGGTTGCGTGTGTGTGTGCGGCGGGGGGAGGAGTGATGGAGCGTGGGGTTGCGTGTGTGTGCGGCGGCGGGGGGAGTGATGTGTGTGTGTGCGGCGGCGGGGGGAGTGATGGAGCGTGGGGTTGTGTGTGTGCGTGCAGCAGGGTGTGTGTGTGTGCAGAAAGCGGCGCGGCGGGGCGGAAGGCTGTGTGCGCGCGCCAGGGAACTTGCGGCTGGGCGCCAATGCGCATGCTCAGTTGTTTTGCCGTTTTGTGAGTGTGTTGTTGTGTTGTTTTTCATTTTGAGTAGATATGTTTGTACCTTGTGGGTTGTGTTATGGGCATGGGAATTTTGGTTAAGTTTTGTTGGGGTTTTTTTGAGTTTTGTTGTTTTGCCGTTTTGTGAGTGTGTTGTTGTGTTGTTTTTCATTTTGAGTAGATATGTTTGTACCTTGTGGGTTGTGTTATGGGCATGGCAATTTTGGTTAAGTTTCATTGTTTTTTTGAGTTTTGTTGTTTTGCCGTTTTGTGAGTGTGTTGTTGTGTTGTTTTTCATTTTAAGTAGATATGTTTGTACCTTGTGGGTTGTGTTATGGGCATGGGAATTTTGGTTAAGTTTCGTTGGTTTATTTTGAGTTTTGTTGTTTTGCCGTTTTATTTATTTATTTATTTATTTATTTATTTATTTTATACGCTTGTATACCGCTAATATCTCAGCCTAAGTCGGCGACTCATTGCGGTTTACAACAGTTAAAAAACAATATTCAATTTAAAAACATAGAACACATATACTATACAAATTATTGGGCCACCAATAATAATTCCATGCATCTCGTAACTCAAATCCCAATCCAAAATTCGTCGTCCATGATTACCAGTCCTTTAGTCATCAACATTCGATTGCCACGGCTTAACCGAACGCTTGTTTAAACAGCCATGTTTTCAATCTCTTCCGAAACACCATCAGTTTTGTGAGTGTGTTGTGTTGTTTTTCATTGTGAGTAGATATGTTTGTACCTTGTGGGTTGTGTTATGGGCATGGCAATTTTGGTGCAGTTTCGTTGGGGTTTTTTAGAGTTTTGCTGTCCGGTTGAACCAACCTAACAGATTTATATATATAGATGTAGAAGGGACCGTAGCCGTAGTGAAGGTAGGCACAGTATGGATGTGGGCAGGGTGTCCCTCCCTAAAGGATCTCCAAATAAATGCCAGGCACGGAAACAGCAGCCCTCTTCTGCTATTTTTTTTTGTCTTGGGGCTGTTCTTTTCTGCTATATCATCATAATGTTCCAGCATTACTCCATCTATATAAATAAAAATGTAATGTTCATTTGTGGGGTTAACAGAACTCAAAAACCACTCAAAAACCACTGGACGAATTGACACCAAATTTGGACACAAGACACCTAACAACCCAATGTATGTCCTTCACTCAAAACATTGATTTTGGCATTTGGAGTTGTAGTTGCTGGGATTTATAGTTCACCTACAATCAAAGAGCATTCTGAACCCCACCAATGATGGAATTGAACCAAACTTGGCACAAAGTTCTCCCATGACCAACAGAAAATACTGGAAGGGTTTGGTGGGCAGTGTCCTTTTGTTTTGGAGTTGTAGTTCACCTTCATCCAGAGATCACTGTGGACTCAAACAATGATGGATCTGGAGCAAACTCTACGAATACTCAATATGCCCAAATGTGAACACTGGTGGAGTTTGGGGAAAATAATCTTGACATTTGGGAGTTGTAGTTGCTGGGATTTATAGTTCACCTACAATCACAGAGCATTCTGAACCCCACCAACAATAGAATTCAGCCAAACCTCCCACACAGAACCCCCATGTGGGCCACAGCAATGCATGGCAGGGGACGGCTAGTCTATATAAATAAAAATGTAATGTTTGTTTGTGGGATTCACCTAACTCAAAAACCACTGCACAAACTGACACCAAATTTGGACACAATACACCTATCAGGCCAATGAATGATCATCACTCATAAAAACACAGAAAAACAGAGCAGAAGAGACTTTAAAAGCCAAAAATTAAAAAATACATTACAACGCACACAAAACCATATATATATATATATATATATATATATATATATATATATATGCATACACACATATATACACATATACATAAATATATATGCACACATATACACACACAAAACACATATATACAGACTGGGCCACAGCAACACGTGGCAGAGAACAGCTAGTTAGAACTAGGTTCCACTGCAAAATGAGGCTAAAAGGAAGATAAAACTGAAACAGTAAAAAGTGCCAGTCTCTTTTCTCTCTGCAGGAAGATAGAACACAATAGGAAGTGATGGTGTGGTCACTTTAGTTTTTTTTTTTTAGCACTTCTGTAAATAGATCTTTAAAAAAAAGATATGGCAGATATAAAAGGCTTTGTAATGTGCAGTCACACCATCACAATGCTATCGTAGCATTATTGTACTACTATAGATACTCTAAAAAAAGTTGACAAGGATACAGGAGTCAGTAATATGTCATTAGTGCAGATGAAAAAAAAATAATGTGGCAAAGGTATGATAGAGAGCACTCTGACACTCTCGTGAGCCCGGTACATTTCAAACCGAACAATGCACAATAAAGGTGTAGTGTGATAAGGCTCTAACTTATGTACATAATTATGGAAGAAGTTGTTACTTCTTATGGAAGCAAAGGTGACCCTTATCAGTGCAGCATCACATTCTTTGTGTAAATAAAGGATAGGAATAGTATAGTAAGCCAGATGTTACTGAACTGCAACCTCTGGCAGCACCAGCTAACGAATCAATTCTGAGAAATGCTGGCTGTTGCAGTTCAGTATCTATAGGGCTGCACAGCGGCTACTAGGCATAAACAATCCATGGTTCTAAATCACCATTTCTCAACCTGGGGGTCAGGACCCCAGGGGGGGTCAAAAGAGGGTGCCAGAGGGATCACCAAAGACCACCAGTATTTTCTGTTGGTTGTGGGAGTTGTGTGTGGGAGGTTTGGCCCAATTCTTTCATTGGTGGAGTTCTGAATGCTCCTTTACTGTCGGTGACTATAAATCCCAGCAACTACAACCCCCAAATGGCAAAGTCTATTTTCCCCAAACTCCACCAGTGTTCACATTTGGGCATATAGAGTATTTGTGCCAAGTTTGGTCCAGATCCATCATTGTTTAAGTCCACAGTGCTGTCTGGATGTAGGTGAACTACAACTCCAAAACTCAAGGTCAATGCCCACCAAACCCTTCCAGTATTTTCTGTTGCTTATGGGGGTTCTGTGTGGGATGTTTGGCCCAATTCTCTCATTGGCGGAGTTCAGAATGCTCTTTGATTGTTGTAGGTGAACTATAAATACCAGCAACTACAACTCCCAAATGGCAAAATCAATCCCCCCAAACCCCACCAGTATCAAATTTGGGAGTAATGGATATTTTTGCCAAATTTGGTCCAGTGAATTAAATTACAGCCTGCATATTGGAGATTAATATTACCATTCAAAACATAATTACAGTTATGAAATAGCAGCAAAAATAATTTTATGGTTAGTAGTCACCACGACATGAGGAACTGGATTAAGGGGTCGCAGCATCAGGAAGGCTGAGAAACACTGTTCTAAATGGTTCTAAAGTACTTCCAAAACTGGGAGGCGCTGGTGCTTTGCTTCTACGGTGTTGCTAAAGTTCGGGTGGTGAAAATTTCAGAACTCTAACAAAACTTTCAAAATGTTGTTATAAATGGCAATTCCTAATTGGTCCTGTCATAAAAATTGCCAATAATGAAATAATAATGAAATTCTGAAAGTTGTTTTAGAGTTCTGAAATTTTCACCACCAGAATTTAGCAACACTGTAGAAGCAAAGCACCAGCGCCCCCTAGTTTTGTAAGTACTTTAGAACCATTTAGAACCATGGATGGTTCTATGAGGCTAGCCCTGATATACAAAAATCTTTATGTATTAACTGTGCGAAGTGATCTCCTTGATTCCCATTGTCATGCAGATCCTCTGACCTGCTTCATATAGTGAAGATGTATAGATATCTGCATAGGAGAAATAAACACATGTAAACGCTTTCTCCAGATATCCACACTCAACGTGTGGATACTAGAGGAACAGTTTGTAAAACCACATAGTACTGGCAACTGCTTTCTCCTTCTTGAGACACTGTCACAGGATCGCTGTATGACCAATGAGATAATGCACACAGTACAGTTGGGATACATAGCAGGAAATGATGTATATGTCTGATAAGCCTTAAAAAACAGAAGGATGAATTCTACACTAGACTCACTGAATTCATATAACTTATACACATGTTGACTACTGTCATTCTTTTCAGTGGGTTGCAACAAACATTCATTGTTAGTCTAACTGTGTTAGCCCAAATGTGTTATTTTTGGTTTTTTAAACATTAAAATTATTTATTATTATTTATTTACTGTATTTATATACCGCTTTTCTCACCCCAGGGGGAATGCAAAGAGGTTTACAACAAATAATGGAACTCTTGTCTGCTTGCGGACAAGTGTGAATGTTGCAATTGGCCAGCTTGATTAGCATTTAATGGCCTTGCAGCTTCAAAGCCTGGCTGCTTCCTGCCTGAGGGAATCCTTTATTGGGAGGCATTAGCTGATTGTTTCCTGTCTGGAATTCCCCTGTTTTCTTAGTGTTGTTCTTTATTTAGTGTACTTTATTTAATGCTAATTAAGATGGCCAATTGCGACATTCACACTTGCCTCAAACAGAAAAGAGTTTTTTCTCCCACCCTGGACATTCCACAGATATATAAACCCCACTTGCCTAGTTTTCAACAGAACTCACAAGCTCTGAGAATGCCTGCCATAGATGTGGGCGAAATGTCAGGAGAGAATGCTTCTGGAACATGGCCATACAGCCCAGAAAACTCACAACAACCCAGTTATTCTGGCCACGAAGGCCTTCAACACCACAATCCATTGAAGATTTTCATAGAGCTATCCTTTGCTATGCTCCCCAAATTTCAATAATTATATGGTTATTATTATTATTTTATCTTAGTCATTTCTTTCCCATCATTCTCCCAATAAGGAGGCTCATGGTGGCTAACAATGTATTTAAAATAATCCGTAGACACCTCCAAGATCATGTGGCCGGCATGACTGCATGGAGCGTTGTTAAGATACAATAAAATTATAAAAGCAGTAGGAGACAGACTAGGATTACACTTGTAAAACTATCCATCCCATCCTTTTCAACATATATGGATAGTTGTCTGAAGGCAAAAGGATTTGCAATCCAACAAATCTTTTTTTTTTTTGAAGATGCCATGTTGGGGAAGGCAGCTCTAAGTATGACTAAACCTGCTTCCAACCTATTCATCACATGTATATTTTCACATCACCTTCCCACAATAAAACTCACAATTTTATTTCCCTTTACATTTTCACTGGTTGCCAGGATTACCTTCTGAAGGGTGTTTAATTCTAGACTCATCCTTCCGGAAACAAAGCTCTTCTTCAAGGATCTCCTTAACTCTCCTGGGTGGCTCCACATATACGAATTTCTTCCCTGTTTTCAAAAATACAATTTCAAGGAATGAGCTGAAGAATTCTTTAGTGGGACCTCAATGAAAATTAGTTATAATATTCAACTTAATTATTAATACATTAAACACTAATCAACGCATCACCCCTTATGAACCAGTTAGGACATTAAGATCGTCCGGGGAGGCCCTGCTCTCGATCCCGCCAGCCTCACAAGCACGGCTGGCGGGGACGAGAGACAGGGCCTTCTCAGTGGTGGCCCCTCGGCTGTGGAACGCCCTCCCGACAGAAATTAGATCGGCCCCCTCCCTGCTGGCGTTCAGGAGAAGAGTGAAGACCTGGCTCTTTGAACAGGCGTTTAATTAAGCAGTGCAATCAATTGATCGAATTTGGAACTTGGAATAATGGACGAGGAGATCGGATTATGACTTTACTGATGAGACGTGTTGGATTAGTTATATGGATGTATTGATGTTATTTTGATGTACCGATGTATTGTTAGATTGATTTAGTTGCTTTAGTCACTATTTTAAATGTTAATGCTAATGTTGTGCACTTTGTATATTGACCTGGTTGTAAACCGCACTGAGTCGCCTACGGGCTGAGAGAGTGCGGTATACAAATAAAGTAAATAAATAAATAAATAATAATTGTAATAATGTCCCGGCCATTGTTTAGCAGGGAAGGCGTTCTGGAAGGAGGTATTACATGCCTCCTTGTGCAATGCCTGAATAAGTACATTGGTGTAAATCCATTTTACAGCACTGTAAGGATGCAGGTGTTCTAATCATAAGGTCAATCCACACTGCCATATAATGCACTTTGAAACTGCATTATATGATAAGCATAGGCGGGGCCTTGTTTATTTATTTATTTACAGTACTTATATTCATAGAATCATAGAGTTGGAAGAGACCTCATGGGCCATCCAGTCCAACCCCCTGCCAAGAAGCAGGAATATTGCATTCAAAGCATCCCTGACAGATGGCCATCCAGCCTCTGTTTAAAAGCCTCCAAAGAAGGACCCTCCACCACACTCCGGGGCAGAGAATTCCACTGCTGAACAGCTCTCACAGTCAGGAAGTTCTTCCTAATGTTCAGATGGAATCTCCTTTCTTGTAGTTTGAAGCCATATTCTGCCCTTCTCACTCCACAGGGGACTCAGGACAAATTACAATGCACATATACATCGCAAACATTCCATGTCATTGGACATACAACATATATCGACAGACACAGAGGCAATTTAACATTCCAGCTTTCCAGCTTCAGGAGGGTATGTTCGATTTCACAGGGGGAGCTGCCGCTTCACCGTCCACTTGTGACACCGAGTCCTTGATGGAGTACTTCCTCATTCTTTTGCACACTGCTGGAAGGTTTTACGGTGTCGTAAATTAGTTAAATTAGCCTCCCTGTATAAAGTGGTACCTAAATTACCTACTTGATAGATGCAACTGTCTTTCGGGCTGCATAGGTTAACAGCAAGCCAGACTGTTAATGGTCAGGAGCTCACTCTGATCCGAGCTGGCTTTGAACTCATTACCTCTCGGTCAGTAGTGATTTAATGCAGCTGGCTACTAACTAGCTGCACCACAGCCTGGTCCCTGCCATAGTCTCCCTCCTGTGTTTTCCCTCTGCTGTTTCTGACATTTTTGTTGTTCTAAATAAACTGGAGAAGATGGAATATCACCACAGTTCTGATATCATTGGGAGTCCTCTGTTTGCAATATGTGGTTTTGCACATGCGTTATAATGTTGTTCGGTTTTTTTTGCTTTTAAAGTATCTTCTGCTGAGTTTTTCAGTGTTTTTATGGGTGATGGTCACTTGTTGGCCGGATACATGTACTGTGTTCAAATTTGGTGTCAATTCGTCCAGTGGGCGGATTACAGTGTACACATATATGGCAAACATTCAATGCCAATTTTTGACATACAAACATATATAGACATAGACAGAGGCTATTTAACTTTTTTTTTCTGGCCGCCAGGGGAGCTGTCACTTTCATCGTCCATCTGCGACGCTGATGAAGCACTTCCGCATTCCCCGCATGCTTCCCCGCTGGAATGCTTTGCTGGAGTATGGCCTCATAAATTAGTTAATTTAGCCTCCCCACACTTTTTAAGGTGGGGGGGGGGGGGGGGGGGCCGGGGGGCTGAGTTTGATTGGGGGGGGCTGAGTCTGAGTGAAAGAGGGTCTACACTAGCAATGATCTGAGCATGTTGATCAGATCATGATATGAATAAACATAACAGTTTAAATAATGTACCAGTAAGGCCTTTTCGCAGACCACCATGAGAATTTCGGGGGGGGGGGGGGAGGGGGCTGAAGCCCCCAACGCATGCTTCCCCGCTGGCATGCTTTGCTGGAGTCTTCTTTATGGCCTCATAAATCAGTTAATTTAGCCTCCCCATACTTTAAGGTGGTACCTTATTTTCCTACTTGACAGATGCAACTGTCTTTCAGGTTGCAAAGGTCGACAACAGGCTACACAATTGGTTGGAAACCCACTCCAACTTGGGCTGGCTTCGAACTCATGACCTTTTTGGTCAGAGTGATCTTAATGCAGCTGTGCCACAATCCTGGTGCTAATGTTAATGTTATGTTAATCCCACAAATGAACATTACATTTTTATTTATATAGATTACTGGATTATATTGTCGTTTATAGTGACCACTTGTTCTTGTACTTCGGGGATCCTTTCTCTGTAGTTGTCACTCAATAACATCTGGGACCCCTTTGATCCCTTGCCAATCAGGAAGACACAATGGAAGCACTCTAGACAGATGACCACCCAGCCTTTGTTGAATAGGGGAAGGGGATTTCCACCCAGCTTTGGGGAGCAGCATAGAATCCTAGAGTTGGAAGAGACCTCATGGGCCATCCAGTCCAACCCCCTGCCAAGAGGCAGGAATAGTGCATTCAAAGCACCCCTGACAGATGGCCATCCAGCCTCTGTTTAAAAGCTTCCAAAGCAGGAGCCATGCCTCCCGGCTTTCTGTGAAGGGGGCGAGATCCACGAGGAATGCCACCTCCCGGGGGGTCTAAGAGGGGCCCCCTTCCCCGTCCTCCCCGCCCAGACTCACAGGGCTGCTGTGCCCCTCCCTGGGACTCCACATAGACCCCCGTCCTAGGCTCCAGCTGCTGCCCGCCTGCCGCTCTCATGCTCCCTGGCGGGTGCTCCAGGCTCCTCGTCACCAGCAGAAGTCAGAGCAGAAGTCACAATGCCCGTTGCCTCCTCGCCCAGGAGGTTGCCATAGGAGCCCAAGCCCAGAGGAGAGGGCGCGGGGGAGGTCTCAGAGTGGCTTCCCTCCTCCTCCTCCTCTCCCGGGGATTTGCAGCAAGACAGAAAGGAAGGGCGGCTCTAGTTGTCTTTTATTCTAGAGGCCAATCATAGAATCCTAGAGTTGGAAGAGACCTCATGGGCCATCCAGTCCAACCCCCTGCCAAGAAGCAGGAAAATTGCATTCAAAGCACCCCTGACAGATGGCCATCCAGCCTGTTTCAAAGCTTCCAAAGAAGGAGCCTCCACCACACTACAGGGCAGAGAGTTCCACTGCTGAACAGCTCTCACAGTCAGGAAGTTCTTCCTCATGTTCGGATGGAATCTCCTTTCTTGCAGTTTGAATCCATTGTTCTGTGTCCTAGTCTCCAAGGCAGCAGAAAACAAGCTTGCTCCCTCCTCCCTGTGACTTCCCCTCACATACTTATACATGGCTACCATGTCTCATCTCAGCCTTCTCTTCTTCAGGCTAAACATATCCAGCTCTTGAAGCCGCTCATCATAGGGCTTGTTCTCCAGACCTTTGAGAAGGGTGGGGTAAAAGTGTTCGAAATAAATAAATTGTCATTCACGTGCACACATTGGTTTTCACTCTTTCACAGCTGCAGAATGGCCCAAAGCTCTACAAATGAAGCCTTCTCCATCACGGCACCTCCAACCTATTTAATTTTATTTATCGTGGTTTTTTAAACGATTTGGGCAAAAAACAGGGCAACATAAAACACTTTGGTGAGTAGGACTCGACCGGGCTGTGGTGCAGCTAGTTAGTAGCTAGTTGCATTAAATCACTACTGACCGAGAGGTCATGAGTTCAAAGCTAACCCGGGTCAGAGTGAGCTTCTGACCATTAATAGTCTAGCTTACCATTGACCTATGCAGGACAACGCTGGCTCTTCAGCTTAGAAATGGAGATGAGCACCAACCCTCAGAGTCAGACATGGTTAGACAATGCCAAGGGGAAACCTTTACCATTATCTTATTAGTTTCACAAACTTGGTGGCATATCTTAAGATTTTTACATTCCTATCTAGTGCACCAAAGGAGAAAATAAATTCATCATGCCTGTTTTTCAAACTTCTATAAGTGCATTTTCTCAAAGGACCATTTAAACAACTCTTCAGTCATTGGTGAGAGCTCAGTTTTGCATTGTCTCCATTAACATTGGAAGCATATTTCATTTGGATACTAAAAAAACCTCCCAAACATGCTTGCAAATGGAGGACTCCCAATGATATCAGAATTGTGGTGCTATTCCACCTCCTCCTCTTTCATCAATTTATTTAAAACAACAAAAAAGTCAGAAACAACAGAGGGAAAACACAGGAGGAATGCAAGTGGGAAACTATGGCTGGGACCAGGCTATGGTGCAGCTAATTAGTAGCCAGCCACATTAAATCTCTACTGAGGTCATGAGTTCGAATCAAGCCTGGGTCAGAGTGAGCTCCTGACTATTAATAGTCTGGCTTGCTGTTGACCCATACAGCCCGAAAGACAGTTACATCTCTCAAGTAGGAAATTTAGGTACCACTTTATGCAGGGAGGCTAATTTAACTAATTTACGACACCATAAAACCTTCCAGCAGTATGTGTAAGAATGAGGAAGTCCTCCATCAAGGACTCAGTGTCACAAGGGGACAGTGAAGTGGCAGCTCCCCCTGTGGCTGTAATTGAGCATACCTCCTGTAGTCGGAAAGCTGGATTGTTAAATTGCCTCTGTGTCTGTCTATATAGGTTGTATGTCTAATGGCATTCAATGTTTGCAATGTATATGTGCAATGTAATCCGCCCTGAGTCCCCTGCGGCGTGAGAAGGGCGGAATGTAAATACTGTAAATAAACAAACAAATAAATAGCCTCTAATTTTCTAGATATGTGCTTGTTCCTGCAGTGTGATTTTTTCCACAACTTGCTCTTGAAGAAAGAACATGCTATGAAACCTCACACCCTAAATAATAGATATTCATCCATCACTTAAAGTTAGGAATGGGCAATGTGCAATAATTCAGATTTTGTCAGGCAATGTATCTTAGTATTCTTCACCACTGGCTGTATTAGTTAATAGTCATAGAGGAGCTGCTGCAATAAATAAATAACACATTTGAACATTGCAATGTGCAAGAATCTTGATTTTGCCAGGCTGCATCTGATAGTATTCTGGCTGTATTTGCTAATCCTTTTAGGAGCTGCTGCATTAGCAACTCCTAATGGTTTGATTGCTTTTTATCTATGTGTTTTTAATCCTTTTCTGATTTATGGCAATCCTAAAGGTTATCTAGGTCAGAGAGTATGTGACTTGCCTAAGGTCACCCAGTGGTATTAAATGGCTGTGCAGGGATTTGAAAATTGTTTTCAGAGTCATAGCCAAATGCTCAAAGCACTATGCCATGCCAGCCCCTTCTTGATATGATCAATGCTGTTTATTTAAAGCATTTAGCCTGTTCTTTTAGTGTGTGTGCAAACAAACATACAAGACTTCAACATACATAGGTGTCAGTTCTTGCCCCCAGGCTCCCAATCTAAATTTAAGGCATGACACCAAAAAAATAAAAATAATTGAATGACAAGAACAGAGAGAGATAGAAAAAGAACTACTGGGTGGAAATGTTATAGACATAGCTGTGGTACCTGGGCCACCCAAAAAGGCATCTCTCTCTCTCTCTCTCTCTCTCTCTGTATCTATATAAATAAGAATGTAATATTAGTTTGTGGGATTAACATAACCCAAAAAGGATTGGACCAATTGACACCAAATTTGGATACAATATACACCTATCGGGCCAACGGGTTATCATCACTCATAAAAACACAGAAAAGCACAGCAGAATAGACTTAAAAAACCAAAAAATAAAAAATACATTACAACGCACGTGCAAAACCACATATATAAACTCAAACACACATATATACACGTATACACAAATATATATGCACACAAAGCACATATACACAGGGTGGGCCACAGCAACACATGGCAGGGGACAGCATATATATATATATATACATACATACACACACATACACACATATAGCTAGCTAGCCAGCCAGCATAATGTAGTGGCTTCAGTGTTGAGCCCCTGGTGGCATAATAGGTTAAACCTATTGGACTGCTGATTGAAAGGTTGGCAGTTTGAATCCAGGGAGTGAGGTGAGCTCCCATCTGTTAGCTCCAGCTTCCCATGCGGGGACATGAGATAAGGCTTCCACAGGATGGTAATGTTGCAATCCAGAGCAGGGAACGAGGCCCTAAGATAACTATCCACCACACTTGGCTGTGAAAAACAATCCTTTTTTATTGAAGAAAAATGGTTACAAAATAAAGGAAAAATGCAAGTCAAAAGCCACAGCAAAATCAGCAAACATGAATTTAAATGGACAAAGCAAAACCAAAGCCTCACTGTGAAATACTGGAACCTGTTAGCAATCCACTAACCGTACTTGATATCCTAGAAATCTCCCAAACTATGGCCAGGGAACCGGGAGAACTGCCAAGGTCTTCATCAATTCTGAAACAATGCCTGAACTGAGACAGTCAGCCCGGCGTAAGGCAATTAAAACTCAAGAATTGGTTCCGTGAACCGCCCTTCTTTTTTGAAGCCAATGTTTTTAATTCTTGAATTCGGGAGGATCGACGCAAACTGAGTGATTTACTTCTGTCTTCCCAAATTTGGCCCCTTCTGTTGTCATTACAGTTAACAGGTGCAGAAGGGAGGGAAAGGTCAAGGCTTCCCTCTGAAACATTCTCATGAACACTGGTACTTTCATTTTCCAAATCTACAGAAGTTCCTTCCTCACTAATTTCAGGAACATTGGCATTTTCCAAACCTACAGCAGTTTCTTCCTCACTAATTTCAGGAGCATTGGCATCAAAAGGTACATTTCCATTAGCATCAGTAAATATATTTTCATTAGCATCAGGAGGAACAAACAGAGAATCAGGTTCAAGTTCAAACTCAGGCTGAACCCCAACAGTTCACTACTTTCTCCGTGTTCGATCCCTTCCCATGACCGGCCCCTTTGGCAATGGTCCGTCCTTGCAGACAGCCAAATTTCTCACACCAGAAGTGACCTTGCAATTTCTCCAGTCCGCCCCCCTTTTTGTTTGTGTTTGGTTCCCCTGAACACAAACCAAGAAAAAATCTGGAGACCGGGGAATTTCCGAAATTCCTCTACTTCAGCCATGGGAACAAACACACTGGCTATCCCCCTGGACAAGTCATACACTCAGCATCCCCCCCCTGAAAAAAAACCACCCCCCCCCCCCACCCCCCACCTGGAAAAAAAGGTTGCCGTTAAGTCGCAAAAAGGGCGAGGTACACAATAACATCAAACCTTTCAAAAACTCTGCCAGGCTTTCTCATTGGATAGAGATGGGGGGAAATTACGGGGGGGGGGGGGCAGACATTCTGTGACTCTCTGGCCCCTCGGCTGTGAAACGCCCTTCCCATGGACAATAGATCACACCACCCCCCCCTTTTTTCCCCCCACACCCCCCCCCCCCGCTTTTTAATGGTGGGGGGGGGGTTTTTTTTTTTTGTTTTTTTCCCCCGAAGAAAACTAAAAACCTGGCTGTTTCGATTAAGCAGCTCACCAGTAAAAACCAATAGCATTCCAAAAAAAGAAAACTAAAAACCTGGCTGTTCGAACAGGCGTTCGGTTAAACAATGCAATGTACACGATGAATATAGGAAACGGAATTATGGAAGACGAATTGGATCACGATTCTAGTTACGAGACGTTAATGTGTTGTTATTGATGTGTCATTTTGTATATTATGCTGTTAATGGTTTTTAAATTTTGTATGCTGTTGGATTGACTTTTGCTCTTGTTGTAAACCGCGTTGAGTCGCCTACAAGGCTGAGAAATTGCAGTATACAAGCAAAGCAAATAAATAAATAAATAAATCTACATTTTGATATGTGAGTTACAGAAAGCATGTGGATGGAAAAATAACCCCACTTCCCCAAATTAGCAGAGTGAAGAAAACTAGTGACTACTTCATCTCACTAGAGAATGAATCTACTTTAAATCCGGTTTCTGCTTCCTGCAGAATTCTGGGATTTGTAGTTTAGTGACAATGTTAAAGGCTCCTCCCTAAACTACAAACCCCAGAATTCTGCAGGAGGCAGAAGCCGGATTTAAAGTGGATTCATTCTCTAGTGTGATGAAGTCTCCATTAGCATCCCGAACACTGTTATCTCATCCTTGAGGTCTTTTGCAACAGAAGACTCAACCAAGTTATTGTGTTAAATATTTTATTTTCAAATAAGACTCACAGCAGAATTACAGTATACTTTTATTTCAAGTGTTACCTGTATTAAGTTCAGTTACATTCAGTTCCACTTTTCATGCAGTTTTCAAAAGTGAACAAGAATCTCACAAAGGTTTAACAAACTGTGAAGTGGACTATGACGGCATCTGTTAGACAAGCCATTTCATACAATAATAAATACTCCTTTCTCCACCTTGATAACAATGCACTGGTGCTTGACAGATTTTCAAAAAACGGGTTGCCTATCCAAATTAGACCTCATCTTCCGAGATTTCTCAGCACTGGATAATAGGCAGGGCTGCTGAGAGTTTCGATCCAAAATATTGGGGATTTGTTTCTAGTCCTGCTGTAGATCTTTGCTAGTTTTCACTGTTTGGGTATACAACAAAATTTAAAGGTGACATTGAGTCTAGTCGTGTCGGCTCTGGGGGTTGGTGCTCATCTCCATTTCTAAGCCGAAAAGCCGGCGTTGTTCGTAGACACCTCCAAGGTCATGTGGCCAGCATGACTGCATGGAGCGCCGTAACCTTCCTGCAGAAGCGGTACATATTAATCTACTCACATTTGCATGTTTTCGAACTGCTAGGTTGGCAGAAGCTGGGGCTAACAGCTGGAGCTCACCCCATTCCACAAATTCAAACCGCCAACCTTTCGGTCTGCAAGTTCAACAGCTCAGCGGTTTAACCCACTGCACCACCAGAGCCCCCCCGATGACAATAAATTTATCATTTCTATATTATGCATTCCTAATAGTTACAAAACCGGATTCTTTTCACAACTCCCAAATCTTGGGTAGGAGATACAGTATATATTTTCATGTATGTTCCAAGTGACAACAAAGAAATAATTTTCCGAGGAAACCTCAGGATGCAAAAAAGCTGTAATTCTCACTATTTATTTGCCGATGCTGTGACAGTTAAACAGGTTTAGAGCACTTTTTTTGTCGTGTCAGGAGCAACTTGAGAAACTGCAAGTCGCTTCTGGTGTGAGAGAATTGGCCGTCTGCAAGGACGTTGCCCAGGGGATGCCCAGATAATTTGATGTTTTATCACCCTTGTGGGAGACTTCTCTCATGTCTCTGTATGAGGAGCTGGAGCTGATAGAGGGAGCTCATCCGCCTCTCCCCGGATTCAAACCTGTGACCTGTCGGTCTTCAGTCCTGCCGGCACAGGGGTCTAACCCACTGCGCCACTGGCAAGCCACTAGATTTGATAGACTAAAATTACTTGGCCCCCAGTGTTGCAATTGGTTAAACCCTTGGGCCGGCAAGACTGAAGATTGACAGGTCGCAGGTACGAATCTGTGGAGAGCGCAGATGAGCTCCCTCTGCCAGCTCCAGCTCCCCATGAGAGCTGCCTCCCACAAATATGGTAAAACATCAAAACATCTAGGCGTCCCCTGGACAACGTCCTTGCAGACAACCAATTCTCTCACATCAGAAGCGATTTACAGTTTCTCAAGTCGCTCCTGGCATGAAAAAAACAAACTTATCTAGCAACTTGTAAAGCTTTTATTTAGATATCCAATCTTATGTTGAGAAATTACAGTTCACTGAAACTAGCGATTAAATTATCTCATTATTGATCTATCATTATAATATGGTTAAGAAAATAGTATTTTATTGATTTTAGCCACTCTGGAATGTTTTATAAAGAATTCATAGAAACCATATGTGCTGATAAGTAAACAAAACCACACCCTAGTCATTCTCAAGTATGTCAATGTAAGTAGTTTATGGACCACATTGTAATACTTCACAGATAACCACGTTTACATTCAAGAAAAGTTCCACTGACGTAAAAAAGTATTTTCATGCTTTTAAGTACAAATTCAAACAGGGACCTCAAATTATGTTCTTAAGAGTGTTTGAGGATGCCCTCACTTTTTCCCAGTGTACTTCAGACTTAAGTGGGTTATAATTTATAATTCTGGATTGTTATAGCAGCCACCAAGCAACTTTTTCAGAAACATCTTCCGTTTAGTAAGAACAACCATTCTACATTTATTGAAGGGATGGATAGGTTTGCTCATGTATGCTCTTATGCTATAACATACATGCAGATGACAAATCTATCCCATTTCTGCCTTGGGCAAACTTTCTAAGTGGATAGGGAAAAATATGCATATCCCAGGCATGGGCAAACTTGGGCCCTCCAGGTGTTTTGGACTTCAACTCCCACAATTCCCAACAGCCTATCGGCTGTTGGGAATTGTGGGAGTTGAAGTCCAAAACACCTGGAGGGTCCAAGTTTGCCCATGCCTAGGTAAGACTTTGTATACATCAGTCATGTCAATGGATCATGTGAATAAGTCCAAAATGTTTTCAGAACTGGTAAGCCAACGTGTAAGGCAACGAACTGCTTATCATATAGCAATGGTAAATAAGGAATCCATCTATATTTGCAAAATTAAAGCCACTGGTGGATTCTAGACTCCTACTGTTGCTAATATTTCCATGTATAGGCATCAAATATGTGTCTTTAAAAATCAAAAACAAAAGCTGACAGCAAAAAGTTGTATGTTTGGAAAGTAGGCAGATCATCCAAGACAAGGCATACTGTCTTGCATTAAGGAATCTGACAATCCCACTGCACTACTCATCTTTAGCTTGGGTTGCTGTGAGTTTTCCTGGCTGTATGGCCATGTTCCGGAAGCATTAGCTTCTGACGTTTCGCCCACATCTATGTCAGAGGTTGTGAGGTATGTTGGAAACTAGGCAAGTGAGGTTGATATATCCGTGGAATGTCCAAAGTGGGAGAAAGAACTCTTGTCTGTTCGAGGCAAGTGTGAATGTTGCAATTGGCCACCTTGATTAGCACTGAATAGCCTTGCAGATTCAAAGCTTGGCTGATTACTTCCTTTGTTTGGAGGTTTTAAGTGTAAATAAAGAGCAACATTCAGAAAGCAGGGGAATTCCAGAAATAATAATAATCTCCAATAATAATTCAATATTATTGGATTATAATATTATTGGATTATAATATTCCAATATTATTGGAATATTATTGGATTATTATTAATCCAATTATTCTCCAATAAGAATCAGGGCCAGCTAACACCTCCAAACAAAGGATTCCCCTGGGCAGCAACCAGCCAGGTTTTGAAGCTGCAAGGCCATTAAATGCTAATCAAGGTGGTCAATTGCAACATTCACACTTGCCTCCAACAGACAAGAGTTCTTTCTCCCACCTTGGACATTCCACAGATATATAAACCACACTTGCTTAGTTTCCAACAGACCTCTTACCATATATGTGGGTGAAACACCAGGAGAGAATGCTTCTGGAACATGCCCATTCAGCCCGGAAAACTCACAGCAACCTAGTGATTCCGGCCATGACAGCCTTCTATAAGACACCTTTCATGGCTTTAGTTTGGTTATGTTTTTAATTACTGAGACTATGTCATTATCCTTTGTTGAATGGTAGGTACTATCTAGAAACTTTGTTTTAGGAGTTGAGGTTCATCTACACTGTAGAATTAACACACTTTGAGTACACTAACTGCCATGACTCTGTGTTAGCGAATCCCGACACAGAGCCGCCAAACACAACTTGTGTTATCAAACTGCATTTCATAGCGTTGAGCCATGGCAGTTAAAGTGGTGTCAAATTGCAGATGCACCCTTATTCTCATCAATTAGATCTAATTACTTCTCCAATAATTTAAAAAGGACCAGTCTGAAATAATTTCACCTCTCTTCTGATGGGTGATCCCATGCCCTTTTAAGAAATGGCTTATGGGAACATTCCCATCCTGTTAATTAATTGAATAGAAAACAAACCCAGTGTACCGTGGGTTCCTCCAAAGAATTTCAAGTAAAAATGGAAATGTTTCACAAGTATAAGGGTTGTATGGCATATATATTATAAAAATAACGACATTATAACAAAATGAGGTGCCATTTCCAGCATCTCACGGAATAAAGCTATGGCAAAGAGGTGGGGGGTTGAAAAGCACCAAATTTGAGTACAGTTACAAAGTGTTTTTACAAAGGCGCAGGCAGTGTTTCCAACATTCAAACGCTCACAAAATTCCTAAGAATCGGACACAGAATTTGTGCAATTTTCAACAATTTCGAACAGGTAGTGATATATGTCAGTCCTTCGAGCAATATCGTACGCTGTTTCATCCAAGTTGTTTTTAAGATACGGCTTCAAATAGCGATTCATGAGCAAGAGTTCCAGAGTTTCCTTGCTTTCCCTGTTCCCTGCGGCAAGGTGCAACGGGGTCAGCAAACCATGGGTCTGGGCATTAATATCCGCACCGTGCTGAAGCAAGAACGATGCGATCTTGGTGTTGTTCCACTTACAGGCACTATGCAGAGGGGTCCAACTGTCCACTGTCAATGCATGAACATCGGCGCCATGGGCAATCAGCTCACGCACAATTTCCAAGTGTCCGTTATAGGCAGCGCGGTGGAGAGGGGTGTATTGATCTTCATCTTGGACGTTGACCGGAGCAAGATTCTGAGACAGGACCCTTTGTACAGTGTTAAGCTGTTGGGAGTGGAGAGGCAACACATTGTTTTAGGTCAAGTAGAGCACTGAGTTTTCCTATAAATGATCTAGCCTAACACTCACTGTTTATCTCAGTTCAGGTTAAAGCAGTGTTTCTCAACCTTCCAAATGCCGTGACCCCAAATACAGCTCATGTTGAAGCACTGCCTGAATATCAAGCAAAAAATGGGTGCTAGAAACAATATCATACGAAATCTGACTGGCACAACCTGGGGATCACAACCAGACACAGTGAAGACATCTGCCCTTGCGCTGTGCTACTCTGCTGCTGAGTATGCATACCCAGTGTGGAACACATCTCACCACACTAAAACAGTGGATGTGGCTCTTAATGAGACATGCCGCATTATCACGGGGTGTCTGCGCCCTACACCACTGGAGAAATTACACTGCTTAGCCGGTATTGCACCACCTGACATCCGCCAGGAAGTAGCAGCCAATAGTGAAAGGACCAAGGCAGAGACATCTCCACCTCATCCCCTGTTTGGGTATCAGCCAGCACGTCAACAGCTTAAATCAAGAAATAGTTTTCTAAGATCTACAGAGACACTCGCTGGAACTCCCCAGCAAGCAAGAGTCCAAAAGTGGCAGGCTCAAACCCAGAGCCTTGATCAATGCCTGATACCAAATGAGAGACTCCACCCTGGGCACACAGAAGACTGGGCAACTTGGAAGGCACTGAACAGACTGTGCTCTGGCACTACGAGATGCAGAGCCAACCTTAAGAAATGGGGCCACAAAGTGAAATCCACGACATGCGAGTGTGAAGAAGAGCAAACTACAGACCACCTGCTGCAATGCAACCTGAGCCCTGCTACATGCACAATGGAGGACCTTCTTGCGGCAACACCAGAGGCACTCCAAGTGGCCAGATACTGGTCAAAGGACATTTAATCAACTACCAAGCTTGCAAACTGTGTTTTTGTATGTTTGTTCTGTTAAAAAATGTAATACAACTGTTGGTTGCCTGACACAATAAATAAATAATGTTGTGGTGACCCTCAACCATAACATTATCGTTGCTATTTCAGAACTGTAATTTTGTTCCTGTTAGAAATTGTAATGTAAATGTATTTTCATTCACTGGACTAAATTTGGCACAAAGACCCAATACGCCCAAATTTGAATACTGGTGGGGCTGGGCAGGGGGATTGGTTTTCTCACTTGGGAATTGTAGTTGTTGGGATATATAGTTCACCTACAATTAAAGCGCACTCTGAACTCCACCAATGATGGAATTGAACCAAACTTGGCAAACACGACTTCATGACCGACATTAAATACTGGAAGGGTTTGGTGGGCATTAACCTTGAGTTTGGGAGTTGTAATTCACCTACATCCAAAGACCACTGTGGACTCAAACAATGATGGATGTGGACCAAACTTGGCACAAATACTCAATATGCCCAAATGTGAATACTGGTGGAGTTTGGGGGAAAATAGACCTTGACATTGGGGAGTTGTAGTTGCTGGAATTTATAGTTAACCTACAATCAAAAAGCATTCTGAACTCCCACCAATGATGGAACTGAATGAAACTTAGCAAACACAACTCCATGACCGACATAAAATAGTAGAAGGGTTTGGTGGGCATTGATCTTGAGTTTGGGAGTTGTCGTTTACCTACATCCAAAGACCATTGTGGACTCAAAACAATGATGGATCTGGACCAAACTTGGCATGGATACTCAATATGGCCAAATGTGAACACTTGTGGAGTTTGGGAAAAATTGACCTTAATATTTGGGAGTTGTAGTTGCTGGGATTTATAGTTCTCCTACCATCAAAGACTATTCTGAACCCCACCAACAACAGAATTGGGCCAAACTTCCCTCACAGAACCCTCATGACCAAAAGAAAACCATGTTTTCTGATGGTCTTTGGCAACCCCTCTGACACCCCCTAACAACCCCCTCAGGGGTCCTGACCCCCAAGTTGAGAAAGGCTGGGTTAAAGAGTTTCATTCCAACCATCCCAATACATTTGTGGATTTGATTAGTCTTGAATTTGATTTTTTAAACGTTCTCTCTAGGTTCTCCAATGTGATTATTATACATATTAATAATGTTATTTAGATTTATTATATTTATTTATTAACGTCATTTATCTCCCACCCTTTTCTACCCCAAAGGAGACTCAGAGCAGCATTATAAATTAGGCAGCAATTCAATGCAAAACATAAACATACAATACAATACACATTTATATTAAAACCAAACATCAAAACTATGCAATTATTAAAATCATGTCAACTGGCATCATCATATGAAGCCATTCCATTGGTCCATTCACTGGGTTGTTGTAGGTTTTTTCGGGCTATATGGCCATGTTCTAGAGGCATTCTCTCCTGACATTTCACCTGCATCTATGGCAAGCATCCTCAGAGGTAGAGAGAGACCTCACTACCTCTGAGGATGCTTGCCATAGATGCAGGTGAAACGCCAGGAGAGAATGCCTCTAGAACATGGCCATATAGCCCGAAAAAATCTATAACATCCCAGTGATTCCGGCCATGAAAGCCTTCGACAATACATGGTCCATTCACTGTTCCTTATTCTCTTGTTGCATTAAAAAAAACTTGCTATCTGAAAGCTTGGTCACATGCTTTTCTTCCTGAAGGTCAGGAGGGAGGGGGTGCTCAAATTTCACTAGGGAGAGAGTCCTACAGCCAAGGGGCCACCACTGAGAAGGCCCTGTCTCTTGTCCCCACTAATCCTGCTTGCGAAGGAGGCGGGACTGAGAGCAGGGCCTCCCCAGAAGAACCTCCTAGCTGGCTCATAGAAGGAGATACGTTCGGGCAGGTAAGCTGGGCTGCTTTAGGGCTTTCTAGGCTAAAGCCAGCCCTTTGAATTGTGCTCAGTAGCAGACTGGCAGCCAGTGGAGCAGACGCAACATAGCGGTTGTGTGCTCCCTATATATAGGACGGGATACAAAAGTTCTAAATAAATATATATATATATTAAAAAAAAACTCACAGCAACCTGGTGTTTCTGGCCATGAAAGCCTTCGACAACATATATTCTCTATTACTGCTCTATATCACACAAAGCAGTCTGGCTTGCTGTTTTGACATAGAACCCACAGTCCCAGTTATGAACACCTTACCCTATTTTTTTCAGCTGCCCAAAGAAGCAGCTTATCTGGGCTGCTTTCCAGTTTTTTCTCTTGCGCTTGGTACCATTCTTCTGTTTTTTCTTCCTGATCTTCCTCGTCGGAATCTCCAGACCACAGGCTTTGTGTTCCTGTCGGGATTAGATGCCTGTGGGTTTCCAACAATTCCAGCTGGTTAAAGCTCTCAGGGAAGTCTTTGAAATCTTTTGCTTCCTCCTCGGTGTTCTTGTCAGTCGATCTGCCACCTTCGTTCATTTTGCAGACTTAAGTACCCAAGTGCCCAATACAGCGATATTATTTCCACTTTCTTGGGCTCATCTCAATCTCTTTTCTCTAGCGGACTTCCAACGTACACAGCGACTAATAAACAGCGAATGAAGAAGTGCGCAGACAGCAGCAAAATCATGAGAACCTTTGGAGAGAAAAGGCGAAAACAGGTTAAATATCCAACTGGGTCAAAAGAAGAGAAAGGCTGCTTTGGCTCTCATAAGAGCTTTACACCTCTTACAAAAGGACAAAGGAAACAAACTGGTGTTGTGTAAGAATATCTCTGATGACATTTTTCTTTCTATGGGGGAAGAGTGAAGATAAGTTTCACCTGTTTAATATTAAATAAATAAATCTATATAAATAAAAATGTAATATTTGTTTGTGGGATTAACATAACTCAAAAACCACTTGACGAATTGACACCAAATTTGGACACAAGATATCTAACCGTCCAACGAGTGTCCATCACCCATTAATACACACGCACACGCACACACACAAAACCCCAGCAGAACAGACCTAAACCCCCCCGAAACACACCATATATACATATATACATATACATATACACTCATATACATATTCACATGCACACATTTATACACACACGTGTATATATATATATATATATATATATATGCACAAACACACACAAATACACACATATCCACACATACATATATACATATACACATGCACGCACATATACATATCCACACATACATACATATATACACACAAATATGCATATAGACAAGCACACACATATACGCAATATGCATGTACACATATAAACACACAAATACACAAATATATAAACACACAAATATACACCCATATATATACACACAAACACATATACAAATATATATATATATACACGCATATACACAATATGCATATACACATATAAACACACAAATATACACCCACACGTACACATATATATACACACAAACACACATATATACACACACAAAACATATATACACAGTCTGAGCCGCAGCAACGTGGCAGGGGACGGCTAGTAAATAAATAATAATAAAACTTTATTTATATTCCGCTCTATCTCCCCAAAGGAACTCAGGACGGATTCCAAACATAAAAGGCAAACATTCAATACAACAATACATCCATATTAACAAAATTTATACAATCCAACATATAGTGAAGATAAGTTTCACCTGTTTAATAATAATAATAATAATAATAATAATAATAATAATAATAATATAAAACTTTATTTATATTCCGCTCTATCTTCCTAAAGGGACTCAGGACAGATTCCAAACATAAAAGGCAAGCATTCAATGCCCGAATACAACAATACATCCATACTAACAAAGATAAGTTTCACCTGTTTAATAATAATAATAATAATAATAATAATAATAATAATAATAATAATAACAATAATAATATAAAACTTTATTTATATTCCGCTCTATCTCCCCATCATTTTTTCCAAAAGGTTATGATTTCTAACAAGGCCATGCCTTTCCAAAAATCACAATTTCTCCAAAATTAACTGTTTCTGTGGATTCAGATACAGAGGGCCATCTTGCCTTTCTCTCCCAACATACTCCTTCTCCTCCTAATAATAATAATAATAATAATAATAATAATAATAATAATAATAATCTTTATTTATACCCCACTACCATCTCCCCGATGAGGACTCGGAGCGGCTTACATGGGGCCAAGCCCGAACAACATATTACATCAGAATAAAACCAAAACATAAACAAGCAACATCATCAAAATTACATGGGAAAAAATTACAATAAACAAAAACATAGTCGCTCATGTACTCGTGTAAAAGTCTGGCTATTTCAGGGGAATAAACCAACCCCTAAAACCTCAGTTGACTTATCCATAACAATAATGATGATAATAATAATAACTACTTTATTTGTATACCACTCTATCTCCCTGAGGGGACGCAGGGTTGTTTTCAACAGGCAAAACATTCAATTGCCAAACAAAACCATACAGAAAATATGTTTCAGTCTGTACCCAAGCCATATTGCATTTTACAGGTCATAAAGAACTTTCTGAATCATCAATGAACTAATAGACAGCGAAGCTACTGCAACAAGGGGCTTTATATGCTCCATGTAACCAGTCACATCTTACCATAGCTTGAATTCATTATCAGTGAAAATAAAAGTAGAACCACTTAAAGAACAATAGCTCCAGGTGTATTGTTACATAACCAATTGAAAAAAAGAACATGCTCTGCATGAAAAGAGATTCAGATTCTGTTCTCAATGTCTCAGCTTCCGCCTGGGAAAGGCTCCTACCGAAAACCTTGGAGAATTTTCTGTACTCTGTCAAAACATCCAGTGAGAAGGTAGATTCTGAATTTTCTACAAGACTACTATTTTTCTGCATTGCCCCTCTTCATCTTGTACATGGATGCCCTTGGGGGTGCAATGGGTTAAACCAGTGGTTCTCAACCTGTGGGTCCCCAGGTGTTTTGGCCTACAACTCCCAGAAATCCCAGCCAGTTTACCACTGTTAGGATTTCTGGGAATTGAAGGCCAAAACATCTGGGACCCACAGGTTGAGAACCACTGGGTTAAACCCTTCTGCTGGCAGAACTACTGACTGACAGGTCAGACAGAAATTCAAATCTGGAGAGAGCAGGTTGAGCTCCCTCTGACAGCTCCAACTCCCCATGCGGGGACATGAAAGAAGCTTCCTACAAGGATGGTAAAACATCAAACATCCAGGCATCCCCTGGGCAACGTCCTTACAGACAGCCAATTCTCTCACTCCAGAAGGGACCTGCAGTTTCTCAAGCTGCTTCTGACACACAAAAAAGATTCTAATGCGGGAACAAAAAATAAGCCTTCCACAGGATGGTAAAACATCCGGGTATCCCTTGAGCAACGTCTCTGCAGACAGCCAATTCTCTCACGCCAGAAGCGACTTGCAGTTTCTCAAGTCACTCCGGGCATATTTTGAGTAAAAGCTGTAGCTCTGTAGCAGTGTACATAAAGAACATGCAAGAGGTTACATTCCTGAGGTGCATCTACTATGCAGATTTAATAATAATAATAATAATAATAATAATAATAATAATAATAAACTTTATTTCTACCCCATCACCATCTCCCCAGTGGGGACTCAGGGCGGCTAACACGAGGCCAAGCCCTTCTAAAAATACAATACAGCACAGTAAAATGCAAAATACAAGACAAAATACATTACAAAATAAATAAAAGTAAATTACAATAACAAAATACAATAGTAAAAGACATTCACACAATATAAAATCAAATAGGATGGGCAGGCCAAATGGACAAGATAAATCATAGAACCTGGTTTGCCTTCTTCCAATCTGGCTTCTTTTCTAGTAGATTTTATTGTATTAACTCAATGTTTTAATTATTTATAATTACTGTTTGTTGTGTATTTCATTGTGTTTAATTGTATGCATCGAATATGTGCCGGCTGGAATCAGCCCTGAGTCCCCCACTAGGGGGTTGAGAAGGATGGGGTAAAAATACCCGAAATAATAAATAACTAAATAACCCTGGGTGAGGTAAAATATGCAAATGAGGGGGGCCAAGAAAATTAAACAGTGGGGACTTTAGCATTCTCTGCCAAAAGTCCCCATTAACAGTGGGGACTGTTAAGTGATACCACTTTACTGGTCATGGTTTAATGCAAATCTGGGAGTTGTAGTTTGAGGAAGCATCAGCACCTTTTGGCAGAGAATGCTAAAGACCTTGTAAAACCTCAACTCCCATGATTTCACAGCATTGAGCTATGGCAGCTACAGTGGCATCTGACTGCATTCATTCTATAGTGTAAATGCACCTCTGGTTTGCCTTCTTCCAATCTGTGTAGACAGTGCCCTGCTAGAAGGTTAAACCTGGTACGAACCACCAACTTATTACTTATTCTGCACATATAGGCTTGGGTGTGGAGGAGATTGGAGCATGCTTTACATACATAAGATCTCAGGCTCTCCTCTGCCATCTCCAGTAAACCTAGGAAAAATATAGAAAAAAACCTGGAGAGGCACTATAAGTCAAAGCAGACAACACTAAGAAAGAAGGATTGATCCTTGTAGTAAACATTACTTACACCCAATGCTTATCAATCTACATGGCGTCCACCCAACACAGCATTGCCCAAACGCGAATTAAGGAACATGAAAGGTACTGCAGACTAATTCAACCAAAGAAGTCAGTCATAGCAGAGCACTTGATGAACCAAACTGAACACAGCATATTATTTGAGAACATAGAAATGCTGGACCTCTCTAACAACCACCATGTCAGACTACTCAGAGAAGCCATTGAAATCCTCAAGCATGTGGACAATTTCAACAGAAAGGAGGAAACCATGAAAATGAGCAAAATCTGGCTACCAGTATTAAAAAACTCCAAAAACAGGGCAGTAAATAAAGAACACTAAAAAACAGGGGAATTCCAGACAGGAAACAATCAGGGCCAGCTAACACCTCCCAACAAAGGATCCCCCAGGCAGGAAGCACCCAGGCTTTGAAGCTGCAAGGATATTCAATGCTAATCAAGCAGGCCAATTGCAACATTCACCTTGCTTCCAGCACTTCTTTCTCCCACCCTTGACATTCCACAGATATATAGATCTCATTTCTCTAGTTTCCTCCGGGAAGGAAGCAGCCAAGCCTTGAAGATGCAAGGCTTTTCAATGCTAATCAAGGCTATCAATTGCAGCATCCACATGTGCCTTAAACAGACAAGAGTTCTTTGTCCCAGAACTCTCATTTGCCTAGTTTCCAACAAACGTCACAATCTCTGAGGATACCTGCCATAGATGTGGGTGAAATATAATGTAATGTAATATATTGTATATACATATAATATTTATAATATTATAATGGAATGCAATATACTACTACTACTAATAATAATATATTATAATTATATCCTTATATTACATGTAATATTATTAATAATATTACAATATAATGGTATAGTACAATATAGTAATATTTAATACTGATATTGTACTATGCTAATAATATGATATATTGTATGTATATATATCTTGTAAGCCGCCCTGAGTCCCCTTCGGGTTGAGAAGGGCGGCATATAAATGTCGTAAATAAATAAATAAATAAATAAATAACCTTCAGGAGAGAATGCTTCTGGAACATGGCCATACAGCCTGGAAAACTCACAGCAACCCACCTTATTAGAATTTTCAGGAATTACTCTTACTTAACGTAGTGGGCTCTAAGGGTGCATGAACACTGTAGAATCAATGCAGTTTGATGTTGCCATAGCTTGATGCATTTGTAGTGTACTGAGACACCAGAATTCTTTAGCAGGGGGATGAAGGACCTTGTAAAATGACAAACCCCAGGTTTCCACGGCATTGAGCTATGGAAGTTAAAGTGGCGTCAAACTGCATTAAGTCTACAGTGTAGATGCACCCTAAGATAAACATACGCACTAATGGGATAAGAATAGACGTGTATGACAGATAAATAATAACAATAATAACAATGAATCATAGTAATAAATCAAGTCTGTAATGATAATAATAAAAATGCCTTACCTCTATAGGAACAATAGCAGCTTCAAGATCTCTTCCAAAGGTTTGGGAATCTTGTCAATCCTTACTATGGAACTAAAAGCAACCAAATCCTCGCCTTGTTTAGAAAATCACATTCAGGCTTCGTTGTCTGTCAACAATTCCATCACATCTCCTTCGAAGATCAATCAAATTCAAAGAATAATTATACAGAATGATGCTTGTGGCATGTTATATACTGTAAACCATACAAACATGCTACGAATATTATTATAATATTAAATATATTGTGCAAATGTAAAATATATAGATATATGTGTATTTCAATGTGCTATAAATATATTCTAAATATATTACAATATATTATAATATTAAATATATTGTGCATATAAAATATGTATGTATTTCAATGTGCTATAAATATACATATATTACAATATATTACAGTAAATGTATTGTGGACATATAAAATATATAGATATATGTGTATTTCAGTGTGCTATAACTATATTACAATATATTAAAATATTAAATATATTGTGCACATTTAAAATATATAGATATGTGTGTATTTCTATGTGCTATAAATATATTACGCATATATTATAATATTAAATATATTGTGCACATATAAAATGTACAGATATGTGTATTTCAATGTGATATAAATATATTATACATATATTATAATATTAAATATATTGTGCACATATAAAATGTACAGATATGTGTATTTCAATGTGATATAAATATATTATACATATATTATAATATTAAATATATTGTGCACATATAAAATATATTGTGCACATATAAAATATATAGATATATGTGTATTTCAATGTACTATAAATATAATATACATATATTACAATATATTATAACATTAAATATTTCTGCACATATAAAATATAAAGATAAATGTATTTCAATATACTATAAATATATTACACGTATATTACAATATATTACAATATTAAATACATTGTGCACATATAAAATATAAAGATATATGTGCATTTCAATGTTATATAAAAGCATTATACATATTACAATACATTACAATATTAAATATATTGTGTACATATAAAATAAATATATTTGTATTTCAATGTGTTATATATATATTCTATATATATTACACATATATTATAATATTAAATTTATTGTACATATATATTTCATGTATAGCCATACAAATATATTCATTCATTCCAAATATATCTATATAATATATCTATATATATATATATATATATATTCAGATAGATACGCTTAAATAGTACTCAATATTCATACATACATTCAAGTAATAGAGATATTATCCTCTCAATGGCAGGGAGAGATTGCACACACACTGTGTTGGAGCCATAAGCACGCCTAAGATGCGCGCGCATCCTACCTCCTGGCCAAAAGGCCCGGATGTCGTCTCCCCCCCCTCCCGCGGCGGGCTGAGGGCTCTCGGGGGGCAACGCCCCTTTACAAATGAGTGGGCGGGGCGAAGAATCTGGCCAGCGGGACCCTTTCGTCCCCTTCTTCTCAGACTTCTGGTCTTCTTTGCTCCTCTAGTTCCCCCCTCCCTTTCGGGGATATGTCTACGCATGCGTAGTGGGATTTCCCTGCAGTTTTTTTTTCCACCCTTATAGGGAGAGCGTGAAGGAAAGGGACTGAGGTATCGCGAGAACATCGGCGGGAGCGGCGTGAAGGGGGCGTGGCATTCGTTTCACGCTGCCGCCAAGGAAAGTTCCTTCACGACAGTCGGGTTTGGAGAAGTTACTTTCTGGCTGAAGGAGAGACAGCGTCGCCTGCAGTTCTTTTGTATGATTTCTCGCTCTGTTTATGACTGAATCTCTTTCCAGGGGTAACTCTAGAGCAGGCCTGGGCCAACTTGGGCCCTCCGGGTGTTTTGGACTACAACTCCCACAATTCCTAACAGCCTACCGGCTGTTAGGAATTGTGGGAGTTGTAGTCCAAAACACCCGGAGGGCCCAAGTTGGCCCAGGCCTGCTCTAGAGTTACCTGAGGCCCACGTGCTATTGTTTTCCATTTAGTTTATGTGATATTTACCCAACTTTTGGTTGAATCAGTAAACAAATTGTATATTTTAACCATGCTTCTACTTTTCTTGTGCTGTGATTTGTAGGTTTCACGTCTCCATCGCTCAAGACTTGACCAAACAACAAGGTTCCCTCGGTCCATAGGGAGCTGTAGCTGTAGAAATTAGTCCTGCCACTTCCATGTAAGTTTTCACACCATCTTCTTTTATATATTTACTAGCTTGGGGACCCGGCGCTGCCCGGGTTATTTGAGAAAGGCATTGTGTGGCAAAGGTGTTTATTTATTTATTTATTTACTTTATTTGTATACCGCTCTTCTCAGCCCTTAGGCGACTCAGAGCGGTTAACAACACAGTTTCAATATACATAGTACAAAATCATTGGACATTTAAAGCAATAGTAACAATTAATTAAACATTGAACATCAATATAACAAATCCATCACGTCTCATCGATAGAATCAGAATCCAGACTCATTATCCTTATTCCGTGTTCCAATAATCGATTGCACTGCCTAGTCAAATGCCTGTTCGAAAAGCCAGGTCTTCAATTTCTTCCGGAATGCCAACAGGGAGGGGGCCGATCTGATCTCTGTAGGAAGGGTGTTCCACAGCCAAGGGGCCACCACTGAGAAGGCCCTGTCTCTCGTCCCCGCCAGCCGTGCTTGTGAGGCTGGCAGGATCGAGGGCCTCACCAGACGATCTTAATGTCCTGACTGGTTCATAGGAGGAGATGCGTTCGGACAGGTAGGTCGGGCCAGAACCGTTTAGGGCTTTAAAGGCCAACGCCAGCACTTTGAATTGAGCCCGGTAGCAGATCGGCAGCCAGTGGAGCTGGTGCAGCAAGGAGTTGTATGCTCCCTGCGCTCCGCTCCTGTTAGTATCATGGCTGCCGAACGCTGGACTAGTTGGAGCTTCCGAGCCGTCTTCAAAGGCAACCCCACGTAGAGAGCGTTGCAGTAGTCTAAACGGGATGTAACCAGAGCGTGGACTACCGTGGCCAAGTCAGACTTCTCAAGGTATGGGCGCAGCTGGGTTATATACTGGGTTATCGGTTATATACTAGCTTGGGTACCCGGCGATGCCGGGTTATTTGAGAAAGGCATTGTTTGTTTTGAGGTGTTAGGTAATACCATTTAGTAACACTATTTATTAGAAAAAAGCCATTTTTTTTATATTGTCCCTGGTCCATCCTCTCCCAAAACTCACCGGGATATAAAGTACGTCATGGAGAGTCTGTGTGGTAAGTTTGGTCCAGGTCTGTCATTCGTGGGGGTCGCAGTGGTCTCAGGATGTGGATGAAGGTACCGCAAATCCCATCATTTGTGGTCCATCCTTCCCCAAAACGTAAAGTGGGTCTTTGTGGCATGTGTGGTCCAGGTCCATCATTTGTGGGGGTTGCAGTGGTCTCAGGAAGTGAGTGAAAGTACTGCAAATCCCATCATCTGTGGCAAGTGTGATCCAGATCCATCAGTTGGGTTCACAGTGCTCTGGATATAGGTGAACTACAACTCCAATAAATCAAGGTCAATTCCCCCCAAACCTCTTGCTCAGTTGGTGATCAATTCCTGTTTGCTGTGTGCCACAGGAAAGGTAGTGGGAGAAGTCATGCAAATTGCACACCTAGAGAGAGAAAGGAACCCTGGGATGTCCATTCTGGAGGAAAAACAGAACATCTAGAATAACATTGTCCCCGAATGAAAGCCTTCCCTTGGGTGGTGGGCAGTGTGGTGTTTGGGGAACACATTGGCAGGGTTTGGGAGAAATGTTCACATTGTTCACTATAACCTGCAGTGTCCTTGTAGGGAGTGCTTTGGTGGCTCTTCAGCACTGTGGGTTATAGCTGTTTGTGGAAGCAGGAGACTGTCTGTGTAAGTGGACACCTCTGTCACATACACACATTTTCACTTTTATTATGTGTGTGTATATATAGGTAGATAGATAGATAGATAGATAGATAGATAGATAGATAGATAGATATACTATCTGTCCCCTGCCACGCATTGTTGTGGCTCAGTCTGGTGATCTGGAAAATAAAGTAATGAGAAAATGTTGGTTTCTAATATATGTAATTTCTTTATGTTTGTGGGTAAACAGTATTTCTTGTGTTTCTTTGTCAGTGTTGATGTGGAGATTGTCTGGTTTGCCCTACTCTGGAACATGCGACATATAATTGTCCTTCTTTAGGAGTCCCTTTCAAATCTATGATACTATATCTGTGTGTGTGAATCATATCTATCTATAGCCTGGGAGTGATCCCGGATTCATTGCTGAGCCAGGACCCCAGGTTTCGGCGGTGGCCAAAGGAGCTTTTGCACAGTTAAAGCTTGTGCGCCAGCTGCGCCCGTAATAATAATAATAAACTTTATTTATACCCTGCCACCATCTCCCTAATGGGGACTCAGAGCAGCTTACATAAGGCCAAGCTCAGACAACAATTACATAAAATAACACTGAAAATGCAAACAACAACTATGTAATTACATCAAACACATGAAAACATAGCAATATAAAATTACAATAGGCACAATCACAATGTCAATGGGCAGGCTACATGTAATGGATAAAAGAAAGGCTGATTAAAAACTGATTAAAAACTCAGGCAAGATAAGAAGGAAACAGATTATTTGTGGAGGAGGGCTCATTATAGTGGAGGTTGTGGAATCAAGCTTTCCCACAAAAGGAGAGGGGTATGTACTCCAGTGACAAAAACGTTGAGGCTGAACTCTAGTGTGAGGATATAAATCTATTCATCAAATGCGCAGTGGGAGAGCCAGGTTTTAAGGTTCTTTTTAAAGGTTTCTAGGGTAGGGGCTTTCCTAACCTCTCCAGGTAGTGAGTTCCAGAGTTGGGGAGCCACAGAGGAAAAAGCTCTCTCCCTTGGGAAGTCTGATATGGCAACAGTGCTCCACACTCTGGTTAAATCCCAAATAGATTACTGCAACACACTTTCCGTGGGGCTGCCTTTGAAGGCTGTTCAGAAACTTCAGCTAGTCCAATGGGCTGCAGCCAGATTACTAACTGGAGCAACATACAGGGAGCACACCACCTCCTTGTTATGTCAGCTCCACTGGCTGCTGATCCACTTCCGAACTCAATTCAAAGTGCTGGTTTTGACCTATAAAGCTCTATACGGTTCTGGCCCAGCTTACTTGTCCGAATGCATCTCCCTCTACGTCCCGCCTTTCAGTTTAAGATCATCCGGGGAGACCCTGCTCTCAATCCTGCCAGCGTCGCAAATACGTCTGGCGGGGACAAGAAACATGGCCTTTTTGGCTGCTCTTTGATTGTAAGTGAACTATAAAACCCAGTAACTACAATTCACAAATGTCAAGGTCTATTTCCCCCAAACTCCATCTGTGTTCATATTTGGGCATATGGAATATTCGTGCCAAGTTTGGTCCAGCTCAATCATTGTTTGAATCCAAACTGGCCTACAACTCCCACAAATCCCAGCCAGTTTATCAGCTGTTAGGATTTCTGGAAGTTGAGGGCCAAAACATCTGGGGACCCACAGGTTAGGAACCACTGGTTTAGGGCTTGATAGACTAAAGCCAGCACTTTGACTGATAGTCATTTAGCTGACGTAACAGGGGGTTTGTATATATGTCGCTCCAGTGAGGAATCTCCCTGCTGCCTGTTGTACTTCTTGAAGCTTCCGAACAGTCTTCAAAGGCAACCCCACATAGAGCATGTTGAATTAGTCTATTCGAGATGTTACTATATATATTTCTCACCCATTTTAGTCTTGGTGAAATCAGGCAGATATGAATTTTATTGTAAAATCTTTTGTTTTTAATGCTGCTTCCATCACTGATGTGAACAGGTAAAAAAAGAGCAACCTTTTTGTTTTGTAACTGGCCTTGAGCCATGAGGAGAGGGGGTTAATAAGTTATTATTATATAAGTTGTAAGTTGTAAACCTATATCATGGAGCTGTCATTTTCTGGAAATTCATAGAAATGGAAGTGAGTCATGTATCCCTCTTTGAACTCAGCAAGGCTTTCTTCCAAGAAGGCATGCATAGGATAGACCTGTATTAGACAAAATACATCTTTCTCTGTACTATGTAAAATTGGACAGCAGCAACCAGGAATGGATAGCTTTGATTGTGTATCATGTTAATGTGGATGGGGTTGCCATCTTGAGGCTCTTCTGTGATATGCAGGGATGCAGAATCTCACTGTTCTGTAATTTTGGATTCTATAAGTAAAGGTAAAGGTTTCCTCTTGACATTAAGTCTAGTTGTGTCCAACTCGGGGGGGGGGGTGTAGCTCATCTCCATTTCTAGCCGAAGAGCAGGCATTGTCCATAGATGCCTCCAGGGTCATGTTGCTGGCATGACTGCATGGAGCACCATTACTTTCCAGACCTATTGATCTATTCACATTTGCATGGTTTCGAATTGCTAGCTTGGCAAAAGCTGGGGCTAACAGCGGGAGCTCACCCCGCTCCCCGGATTCGAGACACTGACCTTTTGGTCAGCAAGTTCAGCAACTCAGCGGTTTAATCCGCTGTGCCACCAGGGGCTCATTTGGATTCTGTAAATTACTGAAATGAATAGGACTCTCCTTCTTTGAACTCAGCAAGGCTTTCTTCCAAGGAAGCATGCATAGGATAGTGAAGAATTTTCTAACTATAAGAGCTGTTCAGCAGTGGAACTCTCTGCCTCGGAGTGTAGTGGAAGCTTTTAAACAGAGGCTGGATGGCTATCTGCCAGAGGTGCTTTGATTGTGTTTTTCATGCATAGCAGGGGGTTGCACTAGATGGCCCATGTGATCTCTTTCAACTCTATGATTCTATGAAATAAGCAGGATTGTAGAGTTCTGTGAATGCAGCTTATGACTTTGCAAAATAACTTGTTACAGTATGGAGTGATAATGTAAAAATTGCAGTCTCAGTATTCTTTCTCATTTTTTTTTAGGGACGAAGACGAAAAAGACACATTTAAAATTTTAGTTGCTACCGACATTCATCTTGGGTATTTGGAGAAGGATGCTGCCCGTGGAAATGATACGTTTGTAACTTTTGATGAAATCTTGAAACTTGCTGAAGACCATGAGGCAAGCTGACTTTTATCATTTAATAATATTATCATTGGAAGCAAAGATATTTTGCAGAAATAAATAGTTTAATCTCTTAAAAACACTCCAGAAATATTTACTCTGTTGAAAACATTTCCTGTGCCTTTCATTGACTACACTATGTGAAGACTTTCCTGTTTGAAATAGCCTTTCACTAAGCACTTCATGGTCATACAGGGAATTTTAAACTGATTTTAACTATGGACCATTCTTGGAATTTTTATCATTTGTTTTTAGTTTTGGTTTTATGTTAAAATGTATATTTTAAGATGATTTGGGCTGCTTTGAGTCCACTGGGAGAAAGGTGGCATAGAAGTCTCCTAAATAAATAAATGCACCCGGTAACATAATTTTGTTCCTGGTTTATACATGTCATTCTCTAGTTGGTTCTATCATAAAAACTTAGGAAAAGTTTACTAGACTGCAAAAACTTTGTTTTTGCGAGACATCATGCAGCACATGTTTCTGTAGTTTTTAAATTAATATGTCATAGTGTGTCAACCAATTTTGTGTATATTGTGGCAGCCACAAAAATGAAGTTTTTGGAGTATAACAACTACTTTCAAAACAAGTACCACAGAATTAGACATGAAATAACACTTTCAAACCAGGAACAGAAAATTTTTCAAAATTTGTTACATAGTGTTATATGCAACATTGTCTTTGACCTCTCTGCTATTGTGTGGTCATATCCATCTTAGAAGTCTTCTGCTTTTGGTGAGAACTGAGTTTGTAATAAAGTATTCTTTGTATTGCCATGCAATTTAACTAGTTTGTGAAGTGCACAAAATGTTTTTGAGTTAATAAATACAGATGATGGCTTTATTGAGACAGTTTGTGTTATTTCTTGAAGTTTCAGTGTAAGGTTTATTTCCAATAGTTATTTTCTAAAACTGAATACCGTATATACTCAAGTATAAGCTGACTTGGATATAAGCCAAGGCACCTAATTTTACCACGAAAAACTGGGAAAACTCGAGTATAAGCCAACGGTGGGAAATGCAGCATACTGGTAAATTTCAAAATAAAAATAGATACCAATGAAATTACATTAATTGAGGCATCAGTAGGTTAAATCATCGGTATGGTTAAATGTTTTTGAATATTGACATAAAACAGATTGTCAATAGATTGTCCAACTCTGATTAAACCATTATTCTAACCTTCTTCAATGTAAATATGGTTACATATCCTTCCAATAATAACAATAACAATAATAGTAATAATAGAGTAAAATAATGTAAATGTAATAATAACAATAATAGAGTAAAATCATAAGTGAAATAATAAAATAGAGTAAAATAATAAATGTAATAATAATAGCAATAAATAGAGTAAAATAAGAAATATATGATAATAATAATAATCCAGTAAAATAACAAATAACTTTGATTCGAGTATAAGCTGAGGGGGGGGGGGTATTCAGCTTTTAAAAAAGGACAGAAAACTTGGTTTATACTCGAGTATATACGGTAGTTACTCATTTGATAGAAGTTGATTTTTCAGTAGCATTGTTCACAGACAACACAAAGCCAAGTTTGTGGCTTATCACTTGTATCTTCCTTGACAAGCCAGAGCAATAAAGCTACAAGAAGTGTGACTTAGTACTGACTTGTTGTAGAAGAAATCAGCCAAAGTTTCCTATTCACACAAAATGATAAACAGCAATGGATAGATGATACTCGGTGTGTTAACCACTCTGACATCTGCGAAGAGGCAAACAAATAATATGCAGAACATACCAACATTCTCATTAGTTCACAGTAAAATAGTGTTTTGTATATTTTGTTGTTCTGATGTCTTCATGAAAGAACTTTTGTGAGGATTTGGGTAATAGTGAGAAACTATTTTTTTAGACCTGGGGTTTTGTTTTTATTGACCTGTTTTAGGTCTTTAAAGCCTTTCTGAGTAATGTGTATGCCTAACACTGAATACGAACAGACATTTTAAGGAGGGTTTCTTTTTCATTGCTGTAGGTGGACTTTGTTTTGTTAGGAGGAGACCTCTTTCACGAAAACAAACCTTCTCGGAAAACTTTATACACTTGTTTAGAATTAATGAGGAAATACTGTATGGGTGATCGTCCTGTCCAGTTTGAAATTCTGAGTGACCAATCAGTCAACTTTGGGTTTAGCAAGTAAGTGGATTTCCTTGGAAAGTAGCAGTTACTAGAAAAGTTTCTAATTCAAGTTGAATGCGGAGAATGAAGTGTGCAAAAGGGATCTCTTCTATGCTCTGCTATGGAGACTGGAAAAGGGTGTTTTTCCTATTTTGCTTACTTGTGCAATGCGTTCAAGAGATGGATTGGTGCTGACATCCCATTAATTCTGGCACCAAGTAGAAGTATGGTTCTTTATTAAAGGCTCATTTATTTCAACAAAATCTGCACATGCATGGTTTGTTAATTTTCACGTTGTTTAAAATGATTTTTTTAAAATTGCCTTGCTTTAACTTATCACATTGCTGAATATACAGTATGTTTATATTTGTTATTTCTGGATTATTAGCTTGCTTTAAATTGTCTAAATTAATCTTATTGTCCATCACCATGAAAGCCATGATATCAACTAGAATATTAGTACAGGCAGTCCCCCAAGTTACGAACATGATAGGTTCTGTGGGTTTGTTCTTAAGTTGAATTTGTATGTAAGTCGCAACAGGTAAATTTTTAAAGTGTAAGTAAAGGTAAAGATTTCCCCTTGACATTAAGTCTAGTCATGTCCTACTCTGGGTGGTGTCCGTAGATATCTCCAAGGTCATGTGGCCAGAATGTCTGCATGGGAGGCCGTTATCTTCCCGCAGAAGCACTACCTATTGATCTACTCGCACTTGCATGTTTTCGAACTGCTAGGTTGGCAGAAATTGGGGCTAACAGCAGAAGTTCATCCCACTCCCTGGATTTGAACCGTCAACCTTTTGGTCAGCAAGTCTAGCAGCTCAGTGGTTTAATCCACTGTGCCACCAGTGAGCCCTGTGGCTCCCTGGTGTAGCTCCAGCCAAATATGTGGTTTTTTTAAGCTTTGGATAGCGTAGGGAAAGCTTAACACCCCTGTGGTGTTTGTTGTGTTGTCTGTGCCCTATTCAGAAGATATCCCTGTGAGAATTGAATTTTGAAAAATCTGGCTTGTTGTGGAAACAAGGATGGTGATAAAACTTCAGCTGAGATCCCTTTCTCCCATGATAATAACTCTTACAGGAGTTAATTTCCCTTTCTAGGGGTACATTTCTCTTACTTCCTGTTGTCTCAGTCCCATTCTTAACTATTTGTAAGTTGGATGTGTATAACTTGGGGACTGCATGTATTTTAATTAAAGTAATAAAATTCTTATTGCAATCAGTAACACTTTTAGTGATTTTGGATTCTGGACATCCTATTTGTGATGGGTCCTGGAACTCCTCATATGGTTATGCACTTTTTAAAAAATTGGTAATGTGGTCTCACTATTTTTGTGACATGCAGTGGGGGGCGGGCTCCATGGTCATTTTACTCCAGAGTTCTTCCTTGATGTTGTTACTACGATCTGAAAACAGAAGCTTCCTTGCATTTGTAGAAGTGACAGATTCAGCCAAGATTCTTGTTAAATAGTGGGAGTGCTTTTTAGATAGTGGAAGTGAACTCCTTCTGCAGTTTCTGACAACACCTCCCACACATTGGCAAGGGTCCAATCATCATTTGTAGGAGATATTAAAGGGAAGAAGGAATCAAAGTGGAGAGGATCACATCTCCTTCCTTCGTAGAGATGAGTGGCTTTGTGGTTTAGGTTCCACCAATGAAACTTTGAATTTAACTAGTTTTTTTTAGAATAACACAACAAAATGGTATTCGTTTGTATAGGGCCTATGTGGCGAGCAGTGATATTTCTGTTCATAGGGATGTTTACATTTGCTCTTCTGTTCAGGTTTCCATGGGTAAACTACCAAGATGGAAATCTCAACATCTCCACTCCAGTCTTTAGCATTCACGGAAACCACGATGATCCCACAGGGGTAAGAGTGTTAAGAGAGATAAGGCAATGAGTAGGTTGTTGGAATTACTGGAAACACTGGTAAACCTTCTGGCTAATGGTAAAAATTACATCCTAGCAATTGTAGATCTAAATGCTGAAATGAGATTCAACATGCACTTGCAGCATTCATATTTAGATACATAATCAGGAAACATTTTGTGACTTTCAACATTGGATTCAGGTTTTTTAAACGATTTATTATTGTGAAGAAGGGACTTGCTTATTAAGAGATGGAAAATAAATGCATGGCTGAATAATGTATTTTGTTTGTTAACATAGGTTAAAGCATATTTTCTTAAACATAAACATATAAGCTTCTAAATTGAGTTTAGTTCATCTTTAATAGTTCCACAAATGTGCTAGCACACAAGGTATTATACTGCATTGTGTATTTACATATCTTTCTGTTACTCATTTAAGGACCTGGATAAGTAAATAATTGTTTATGCTGGAGTCTGGACAATAGCTTTTTGTTTAGTTGAGAGGAACCTGTTCTTATTTGTTGTAGGCAAAGTGACTTGTAAGTTATATTCAGCTGGCTTGAAGAACATATATGGGCTTTTTCTTTAATGTTTTGAGTATTCAGGAATTCAGTAAAGGTAGTGGAAATATCTACACTGAGGAAACTTAGAAAAAATCTACACTGAAGAATTAATGACATTGTAAAAGTACAACTCCCAGAATTCCATAGCATTGCGCTGTGGCAATTAAAGTGGTGTCAAATTGCATTAAATCTACAGTGTAGATCCACCCTAAGCAAGCCTATGAGAAATGAACATTGGGTTGATGTAGGTTTTTTCGGGCTATATGGCCATGTTCTAGAGGCTTTCTCTCCTGACGTTTTGCCTGCATTTATGGCAAGCATCCTCAAAGGTAATGAGGTCTGTTGGAACTAGGAAAATGGGCCCCATATATCTGTGGAATGACCATGGTGGGACAAAGCACTCTTGTCTGTTGGAGCTAGGTGTGAATGTTTCAACTGACCACCTTGATTAGCATTTGATGGACAAGAGGGATCCTCTCACTTCTGCAGGAGTCTACGGTATACCATGCAGCTGTGGACAAGTCTACATAGGGACCACCAAACGCAGCAGCATTGCCTAAACACGAACCAAGGAACATGAAAGGCACTGCAGACTACGTCAACCAGGGAAGTCATCCATAGCAGAGCACCTGATGAACCAACCTGGACACAGTATAGTATTTGAGAACACAGAAATGCTAGACCACTCTAACAACCACCATGTCAAACTACACAGAGAAGCCATTGAAATTCACAAGCATGTGGACAATTTCAACAGAAAGGAGGAAACCATGAAAATGAACAAAATCTGGCTACCAGTATTAAAAAACTCAAAAATTACAACAGCAAAACAACAGAGAGGAAACAATCAAGGGCATCTAATCACCTGTCAACAAAAGATTCCCCCAGGCACTGCCAGGCCATCAAATGCTAATCAAGGTGGTCAGTTAAAACATGGCCAAAAAACCTACAATAACCCAGTGATTCCGGCCGTGAAAGCCTTCTACAATACATAGAAATTAACATTAATTGTCATTACTCTTTTCTCTCTCTTACAGGCAGATGCTCTTTGTGCTTTGGACATTTTAAGCTGTGCAGGGCTTCTGAATCATTTTGGACGATCCCCATCTGTAGAGAAGATAGATATTAGTCCTGTTTTGCTTCAGAAAGGCAAATCAAAAATTGCTTTATATGGATTAGGTAAGTTTCTTGAAAAGATTTAATCATGGCATGACATCTTAAAAGACTGAACGGGCTGGGTGCCCCAAACACAGAGCCATAGCCTTTCCTATGGAATATTCTCCAGTTGCGATGGACTACAATTTGTAATTTGTGGAAATGTGAAAGTTGTTTCCCAGCTAGAAGTCATGTAGTTGGAGACTGTTTTTCTTTTATTGTAAATCAGTGTGTAGATTTCTTGAAACTGTATACATAAATGACAGGACTAATAATATGTTTCAGGAAGGCTTGACATTGATGTCACAATACCACTAAATACTACCAGTGCTAATAATAATATTTAACTTAATTTAGTAGAATGGGGCGATCTGGTGAGAGAGTATAAGAGCTTGTTCTGGACAGTCTCATTGCCCAGATGAATCAATTTGGTTTTCTCTAAACAATGAATTGAAATGATATCACAACAGTGTATACTTCAGGTGATACTTGTTATCATGGCCTTTGTTGAAGTTCAAAACACCTGGAGGTCCAAAGTTTTCCTATGCCTACTCTAGAGCATATAGCACTGCTTTAAAGCTACCAGTTTCAACATTAGCAAATGATTGTGAACACAGCCTCTATTGTGCTACTGATGTGTATCTGATGCAGCCATGTTGAGGCAGTGGTGATGCTTAACTGACAAATATTTAAGTGACAAATTATAGGGGAGTTGTACCAAACTGTATTGACTTGCTGCTAACCTTGCTGCAAAACTGTGCCACTTTCCGCATTTTTATCATTAAAAGCCCATTGACGGTTCTTCAATTGCCTCTGTTCCAGGGTCTATTCCAGATGAGAGGTTGTACCGAATGTTTGTGAACAAGCAAGTCACCATGCTGAGGCCAAAGGAGGATGGAGATACTTGGTTCAATTTATTTGTACTTCACCAGAACAGGTACTGTTTCTGTTCATTAAGGCTATAGATGGCTTTGTTTGATATGTAAAGAGGCATACCATATCACAGTTTCCAAACTGCTTTTCAACCATGCCACAAATTCAAGAGTCTCGTACTCAGTATAGGGACACGTCAAGGCCAGAGTGTAAAGATTAAATATTTTTGTGTGTCCCCCTTTTCTTTATTTTTCAAAATTACAGTGGGTGTATTATATGGCCACACCCTTACTGATTATGCAGAAAACTCTGATAAGAAATTATGAAGAAGCTGGGCTTTAGGTACTCTGGCAGCAGGGTACATGTGGCTTGTTCTCTGGTTTTTTGTTTGTTTTTGTGTGTGTCAGGAGCGACTTGAGAAACTACAAGTTGCTTCTGGTTTGAGAGAATTGTCCATCTACGCAGAGGTCGCCTAGAAGTTTTACCATCCTGTGGGGGGCTTCTCTCATGTCCCCACATGGGAAGCTGGAGCTGACAGACAGGAGCTCACCCTGCTCCCCAGATTTGAACCGCCCATCTTTCAGTCAGCAGTCCTGCCAGCACAAGGGTTTAACCCATTGTGCCACCGGGCGCTCTCTGTTACTAAAATATGTTGTAAAGCAGTGCTGAAGCCGCTGTTATAATGGCTAGAGAAGGTGATTAGCTCAATGAGATCAAGTGACCTGAGATTCAGAGGAAGACTGCTTTGCTGTATGTGACTTACTACTGGATTAGTTCCTCCATCTGAGCATCATTTTGTTCCACCAAGTTACATAGGCTCGCATTATTTCCTTGATTCAGTTGACCTTATATGACCAGGCTACTTGTCTAACTGCATCTCCCTATATAGACCACCTCATGCACTGCAGTCAGCGGAGGAGGCACTACTTGTAGTCCCACCTCCTCACAAGCTCGGCTGGTGGGAACGAGAGAGGGGGCCTTCTCCGTGATCGCTTCCAGCCTCTGGAACTCCCTTCCTAAAGAAATAAAAATGACCCCCACCCTCCTCTCCTTCAGAAAACTTCTGAAAACACACCTATGCAATTTAGCGTACGGAGAGGAGAAGGACTAGCATAATTTAATTTGCACTTTATGGCTTCTGCAGTCTATTTTAATTCACAACTATGATCAGGCACTGTTTACATTTTAATTGTTTAATGATCTAGGATATATGTTTTTTGTGCAATTACGTTCTGTTAGTGTATTTCTATTTTATTTTAGCAGTATTTCGTATTTCTTTAACCTTAATTTTTTTCTGGTAATTAGTTTATTTCTGTCCATTTTGCATTTCTGATGTGTGATTTTAAATTATGGCATGGAATGTTTACCTTTTTATGTTTGTAAACCACCTTGAATCCCCTTTGGGGAGGGAGTGCAGTCTAGAAATATTATTATTATTATTATTATTATTATTATTATTATTCTGACACAAAAGCATGGTATGTCATAGCAAACAAGATCTCTATGCTGGATTTCGTATCACAAAATCACAAGTCGAACACTTCCCAAGCATCTAGGACTGTGTGATGTATTTCCGAATGATGCATGCAGATCCAAGTAAGGTGTTCTTTTACAGTTGACAGATTGTGATTCTGTCAATATTAATTGTTTCCAAATGCCGGCTGAGATCTTTTGGCACGGCTCCCAGTGTGCCGATGACCACTGGGACCACCTGTACTGGTTTATGTCAGCGCCTTTGCTGTTCGATTTCAAGGTCCTGATAACGGCTGAGTTTTTCCTGTTGTTTTTTTCAATGCGACTGTCACCTGGTATGGTGAGATCAATAATCCAAACTTTTTTCTTTTCCACAATCGTGATGTCTGGTGTGTTGTGTCCCAAAACTTTGTCAGTCTGGATTCGGAAGTCCCACAGTATTTTTGTGTGCTCATTTTCCACTACCTTTGCAGGTTTATGATCCCACCAATTCCTAATAATAATAATAATAATAATTATTATTATTATTATCCTTATTATCATCCTTATTATCATCCTTATTTTACCCATGACCAAATCTCTTGTCTCTTCCTCTTGGTCTCTGCTCACTTTGGAATCTGATACAAATACAGTGTCTTTCCTGACACAAACACAGTGTCAAGCTGTTGACTGTTTTGAATTTTAATTTGTTCACTTCAAAACTTGACCCTCAGTAAGGCACCTGTCTATAAGGATTCTGCAATCAACAGTTTCCATACCTCCACAGAAACAGAATTAAATCTCATTTTCTGTGTAAAGCATCTGGTTGAAGCTGAATTTATAGTTTCAAATACTGAAGTGTTACATTTCTATTGTGGCCCTTTTTAAACTTTTGAAATTTTTTTGTGACAGTTATTTTTGGCAAAGTGATACCAAATTTTACTACTGTAGAAATATTAAGTTCTTTTCAATTTGAGTGCTTTAGTTTAATATGCAGAACTTCTCATATTGGATTGTTTGTTTCCTTTGGCACAGGAGTAAGCATGGTGCTACAAATTATATTCCAGAACAATTTCTGGATGATTTTATTGACCTTGTGATCTGGGGCCATGAGCACGAATGCAAAATATCTCCAACACGAAATGAACAACAGCTTTTCTATGTTTCTCAGCCAGGAAGTTCTGTAGTTACATCACTGTCACCAGGAGAAGCTGCCAAAAAGTATGTTGTTTTTTAAATGTTTACATTCATCTTCAATGCATTTGTTCTAGTTTAAATGTATCATGTCATATCTTCTATTAGATGCCTTGAATCACGAAAAAAATGCAAGATAAAGTAAACAAATATATTCATTGCTTTTGCATATTGTTTGGTGTTATTTATTCACTGTTGTCTTGGGAGTGACTCACTTGCTTTCATTTTACCAATATGTTCACAAAATGATTTGCTCAATGTGTTCCAGGCATGTTGGCTTGTTACGCATTAAAGGCAAAAAAATGAATTTGCAGAAGATCCCTCTACAGACAGTACGACCATTTTACATTGAAGATATTATTCTTGCTGACCATCCAGACATCTTTAACCCTGACAATCCTAAAGTAACACAAGCAATACAAGCTTTCTGCATGGAGAAGGTAATTCTTTTATGTGAATGTAATTTCTGTTGCAGCATATATGAGGACATCATAGTCCTAATCTAATGTTAAGATTAACTTTATTTGTCAAGCCTAAGTACAATTAAATGTTTCATTCCTCAACCTGTGATACAATGGCTGAGAAGGGCAGAAGCAGGTCATCTACCCAGGGAAAAATAGAATATTGCTGATCAGTCAGTTTGATGTCAATACCAGGAACAATTCTAAAATAGCTCATTAAACAATATTTGGGTTGCTGTGAGTTTCCAGGATGTATGGCCATGTTCTGGAAGCATTCTGTTCTGATATTTCACCCACATCTATGGCAGGCATCCTCAGAGGTTGTGAGGTTTGTTGGAAACTAGGCAAATGAAGTTTATATATCTGGAATGTCCACGGTGGGACAAAGAACTCTTGTCTTTTAAGGCAAGTGTGAATGCTGCAATTGATAACCTTGATTAGCATTGAAAAGCCTTGCATCTTCAAGGCTTGGCTGCTTCCTGCCCAGAGGAAACTTTTGTTGGGAGTTGATTATCTGGTCCTCATTGTTTCTTGTTTGGAAATCCCCTGTTTTCTGAGTGTTGCTTTTTATTTACGGTCCTAATTTTACATTTTTTAAATACTGGTAACCAGTTTTTGTTAAATTTCATGGTTTCTTCCTTTCTGTTGAAATTGTCCCAAATGCTTGTGGATTTCAGTGACTTTTCTGTGTAGTCTGACATGGTGGTTGTTAGAGTGGACCAGCAGAAAGTGGTTAGATGTCAATTAATTTACATCCAACATAAAAACATAAAAATGAATTTATATAAACCACAATTAAAATTCATTAAGTAATTATTAAAATTATTATGCAGCTAATAACAGATTAGAGAAGTGGGCCAACACAAACAAAATTAACTTCAACAGGAATGAAGGTAAAGTAGTACATCTAGTGAAGAAAAATCACACACAAATATTGCTGTGTCTTAATAGGAATGAGATCCCATCAAGTAGCAGAGGAGTCATGTAACTATTTCTAATACTATGGCATAGCATTGTTGATCTGTACCATTTAGACATACTTTTCTAATAGTGTTTCTGCTGTAACAAAGCAATTCAACATGTTTTTATATTCGTTTTTCAATTTCCTTTGTATGTGTAGTGTTGGCTTTAGATCAGAGATCTGTACTAAAAAAATTCAAAAACGGTAGCCTAAACACTTTTCACTATAAGAAATAATGTGTGTATTTGTTCATGTCAAAAGCATTGCATAAATAAGTATAAAACTGATAAAGCAGAGAGAGACTAAGTGTCTAAATAATTTTAGACCAAAAAATGGTTAACATTGACAGCATTTTCTGTAGCTTTAAACAATTCTTCTGTGCATGAGGCAGGGCATTGTGTGCAAGCATACAGATGTGGAGTTGTTTGTTCTGCTCCACAGTCACATATGGTGGAGGAGGATTATCCTAGGTAGTACCATTTTTCTAGGTTGTCTATTGGTCTGCCAATGCCACTTCTGAGTCTGTTCAGGGACTTCCAAGTTGCCCATTCTTGATTTACTCCTGGAGGCAGGCCCTCGGGGGGGATGGGGATGCCATGGGATTTCCTAGTTTAGCTGCCCATAGGTATATTCTTGCTGTCGCTGGGGGAGTAATTGTTCTCATTATGTTTTTCTTTGATTTAAGTCTACTGGGAGGAGGCTGATAGCCATGCAGTGAATTGATAAGAAATAATAATTGTATACAATATTTCTGTATTAATGCATTCAAGGGTTTTTTTTCTTTTTTAAAAGGTTGAAACTATGCTAGACAATTCAGAAAGAGAACGTCTTGGAAATCCACGGCAACCAGAAAAGCCTCTGATAAGATTGCGAGTAAGAGAACGCCAATATATTAATTCCTACTAAATAGCTTATTTAATCTATGCATCAAACATCTGGTTAGTGAGCTATGTGCCAAGATCTTGCATTGGGAGATATACCTATATCATATAGAGATGTCTCCTAAAGTTATTCCCTGCCCTAGATCAGAGCAGTTGTCTAGAAAGGAAAATATATTAATTTATTGGTAGTAAAAACATGTCCTGATAAACCTAATGTTTGGATGAAATATTAAGAATAGAGTATCTTCTATGGTATAGTATACATGGTGGCTGAATACTGTATGGGCCACTCAAAATCATTTTTAGCCTTTCAAATTGGAGCAAATAAAGTTTTTATTTGTTTATAAACTAAGTGTCCCCTGCAGCCCCTTTTTCCATATCACTCAGGTTGTTTTAAGAGTTAGTGTGATATAATTTATATTCTGCTTTATCTTCTCAGAGGGACTCAGAGTGGATTACAATGTACATATAGGAGGCAAACATTCAATGCCTTTTTCACATAGTGAATAATGACATGGAACACAGACAAAGGTAAAAGCCTTTGTAGTTGTTTGACCATTGCATCAGAGCAGGCCCGGGCAAACTTCAGCCCTCCAGGTTTCTTGGACTTCAACTCCCACAATTCCTAACATGAGTAGGCTGTTAGGAATTGTGAGAGTCGAAGTCCAAAACACCTGGAGGGCCAAAGTTTGCCATTCCTGCTCTAGAGGTTGAATCTCCTCTGAGTCATAAAATCCACTGGGTGATCTTTGGTAAGCCACATTCTTTGGACCTCAGAGGAAGCTTTGCATTTGGCTTAGCTTGGTGGCTCATTTGAGCTGAAGAAACCTTTGGCTGTTGCTGGGAGCGGTTACATAGCATCCTGAAGCTGAAAACTGAATCCGTTTGGAGTACCAAGGAAACTGCTTGTTTATGGCAAGATTTATTTATCGTGTCATCAGCAACCATTGTATTACAATTCTAACAGAGCAAAACAAACACAGAGATTAAAAAGAAAAAGAAAAGGAAAAAAACACACAGATTTTGCAAATTTGGTATTTGGTTAAATGTCCTTTGACCAGTATCTGGCCACTTGGAGTGGCAAGATAAGGACATTATACTGATAACTAAGTAGAGAGACTGTATTATTTTGCTATGTATTTACGTATTGTCATGTAAAGAAGAATCACCGGAGATATTGTTTATTGTATATTGGTGAGAACAATTCTTCTGTTTTGTTTTGTGTTTTTGACCTACAGTGAATAGAACTATATTTTTTTCTACTTAAAGCAACAGACTCATGTATATTTTTTGAATTTTTATCACACAGAGAGTAAAAGGGGTTGAAACATTATGTGGGCTACTAGCACTATTCTGACAAACAGTACACAATTTGGCTGGAAACAAACAATGGGCAAAGTCAATCGATAAAAATAATTTTTAAAAAAAATCTAAAACAGTCATATTTTTGGGTTATTGGGTTTTTTTCAAACATGAACTAAAGTGCTGCATAACAATGGTCGGCGTCATCACACGACCATAGAACATTACTCCAGGTCAAAGGCCCGTGTTAATATCCATTCTTTTAGGCTTGAATGGAAGATTTGGAGATTTTGGGCTAATGTAATCTCTCTAGGAACTCTCAACCAGCAGGATGTTCTTCCTAATGTTTTGGGCATTAATTTAGCAATGCATTCGGTTAAATGATGGGTTTTGATTTGATATATTACACTGCTTTCTCTTTTTCCTTTTATTTTTTTTTCAAGGTAGATTACAGCGGAGGCTTTGAACCATTCAGTGTTGTTCGTTTCAGCCAAAAATACATGGATCGGGTGGCTAATCCAAAGGACATCATACATTTTTTCAGGCATCGGGAACAAAAAGAGAAAAATGGTAAATAAGAAGTAAACACAGATTACCCTGTGCAGGTTTAAAAAAAATAAAAAAAATGTTGGGGAAAATGGCATTTACTAGTAGTTTAAAAAAAATAGCGAAGCATTGTAGTTATGTATCTTCATGGGCTTATTTACCTAAAATACTAGGTTCTTGTGGGTTTTTTTCGGGCTATAGGGATCAGCCAGGCCTTCAAATGCTAATGAAGGTGGTCAGTTGAAACATTCACACCTAGCTCTAGCAGAGAAGAGCTCTTTGCCCCACCCCAGCCATTCCACAGATATATAAACCAATTGTCCTATTTCCAACACACCTCACTACCTCTGAGGATGCTTGCCATAGATGCAGGCGAAACGTCAGGAGAAATGCCTCTAGAACATGGCCCTATAGCCCAAAAAACCCCACAAGAACCTAGTGATTCCAGCCATGAAAGCCTTCGACAATATACCTAAAATACTGTTTCAAGAAATGCCTTTAGGTTCTGCTGCCTTCATCACTCCCATATTAATTGCCCACTGTGTGGGACAAAAACTGGACCTCAAGGTCCATGTGATAGAAGACATTTCAGAGGAATATCTGAATAATCAGTATGAATAAATACATATTTTAAACTTTCAAAAATGATTTGCACGAAATGTCACACCAGCTGATACTTGGCTTTCCTCCCAGCTCTCCAGAGACAGATTTCAAGGTGAAGAGGGGACTCCCTTCCTTCCTTTCAAGTCTGATGGAATCAGTTTGGTTAGCCGAGCCTCTCCATTGGATTCTGGCGCTTGTCTTTTGAGGCAAGTTATCTAGGATCACATTTGGCAACTATTATCAATAGTCATGCAATCATGAAGATACTCAGGGTGGCAGAAGCCTAGTAGCTGGCAGTAGTTCAGTAAAACAAGGATTTGTATCCCGTTCCTATATCTGGTGACAAATCTATAGAGAACACTATTTTCTCAAAATGAATCACAATTTGCTTTTCTTTCCCATTTCTTAGAAGATGAGATTAATTTTGGAAAGCTGGTTCACAAGCCTGCATCAGAGGGAACAACTTTGAGGGTAGAGGATCTTGTAAAGCAGTATTTTCAGACGGCTGAGAAGGTAAACATATTTTAAGCTGTTACTCATTTCTACTTCTTTTAAGGTAACATCTTTCTAAATGTTTCAAGTTGAAATACTTGCCTAAATGCAACAGTTTTAATTTTGTTGCTCGAAGTCTTCTGTGCAACTGGTTCTCTACTTTGAAAGCATTCAAAATTGTATAGAAATGAGAGGAATCCAAAAGAGAGCTTTAGAGGCATACCCCAGGCTCTAAGATAGAAGCTCCTTTATGCAAACTGTGTATCCTATGTTCTCAGCCCCCCTTTCTTTCTCGCTCTTTGCCCACTTTGGTTCTTTTTAGCAGCCTCCCCACGGGGAGGGTGATGCAAGAGAAACAACATTTTTGTGTTGGACTCCAGCACCATGTCTGTAATAATTCATGTAATATAGCTAGTATGGGTGAATAATGGGTTTCTGTTGTTGAAAGAAACACAAACCTGGGATTTCATCCTCTGAACTCATTTCAGCCTCTTACCTTGCTTTCCTAGAGAAAGGCTTCTCAGCAACATCTGGGCCCCTCTATGGAATGTGGCCTTTGCTAGCTGCTGAAGACACAGACTGCTCAGTTTCAGGACTTAAAATCTCATGCTGGCTCACAGGCCCAGGAATCCCATGATCCACTTCCTCATTAACGTTAGGAGCAGGCACAATCATGGGCTGAACTATAACATTGCCTTATGTGTCATGAAGCTAAAAATAAAGGTCCTTAAAGTAAAATAATTTTTTTAATAAACTGACTTGGAAAAAATAAAATTTGTTACCTTTTTAGCATAGGTAAAAAAGCAAAAAGTCAGTCTTCCTCCTTTTCAGGTTTGACTTTTGAAGATTTGATTAACATTTTATCTCTAGATTCTTCAGTAGATTTCTGCTTTTGGCTTTCACTGGAATGTGTCCATAGCTTCGAGTTGGAGAATCTAGACATTGCTAGAAAAACGTTCTTTCAAGTTTTAAAAATAATATCTTTTTAAAAAAGGGTCTTTTTTCACTTTCACCATGTCCCTAACCTCAGCAAATGTGGAGAGCTGACTGTGTTTAAATAATTTACTTCAACTGAGTTATTCTGAAATTAAAGTAATGCTGCCAGGTTTTACAATGTATTGTAATGTAATATAGCTGAGTCATGCACTGTTAATGGGCTTCTATTGAAATGCTGAGTCATGCATTAACTGTATATAGAACTTCATTTGGCGAATGTGTTCTGGCCTAGTCCAGGTGATTGTGAATGATGCAATCCTGGGTTTGAGTTAAGTCAATGAGTTGGGAACCAATTAGAGATTGCTATGTGTAATTGTATAGAATTGTATATAAGGAAGTCATGTACAGTGTATATTCCTCTCCTTGTGCTGTGATGTTGTTCGTCGAAGGCTATATGTAATTAAAGAACCTGTCTGCTAAGACAAGATATAACTGTATGCTGTGGTAAGTTTGTAATATCATCTAGACTGGGGGAAAGACAATGGTAAAACTGACAATGGCCGGGCATGTGCTCAAGTATCTGTAAAAGGTTCCAGAGTGACTGGAGGCTGTGGGAGCAGTTGACTTAAAATACTGTGCAGGAAGAAGCTACTGGAAAGCGCTGAAGTTGTGCAACTGATCTGCTGCTGAATTGTGAAGTTAATCTCAACAGTCCAACTGCTAAAGAGATTTTTTATTAACTGTTTCAATTAGTTCCTAACACAGAATGCCATTCCCCAAACCACCTTTTGTAAATAAATATGAGAGTATTTGATAAATACTTTTTTGTTTGGTCTCACAAAGAAAGTGCAGCTGTCACTCCTGACTGAACGAGGAATGGGGGAAGCAGTACAGGAGTTTGTAGACAAGGAAGAAAAGGATGCCATTGAAGAGTTAGTGAAATTCCAGCTAGAAAAGACACAGAGGTTTCTGAAGGAGCGTCATATTGATGCAGAGGAGGCGAAAATTGATGAAGAGGTTTGTATGGATTTTTTAAACTCCTTTTTGAAATGACAATTGGTAAATGGGAGAGGGAATGGCATTGGATTTCACTACATCTACTGAACAGTATGAAAATGTTTTGCCTCAACAGTGTCTTGGCTTTGGAACATTTCATATGGATTTTAGAACCCATGATATATATCTTATCATAGGCAAAAATTAAAATGAACAATAACCAGTCTAATGTAGTATGTACTCATGTTTAGGCCAATCTTATGTATAAGTTGAGGGCCATTTGAGGAGCCAGAAATATGGATTTTGATATTGCCCATGGAAAAGTCGAGGGTCTTTTTATGGAAATGGGGAAATTGTAGCATAGCCTCAGAATACCAGTCAGTGCTGCTGCCATTTCCCCATCAAGGCATTCAAAAGGGCCAGAAGCAATGTGACAGATTAAAGATGAGGGGATTGGGTTGCTGTGAGTTTTCCGGACTGTATGGCCATGTTCCAGAAGCATTCTCTCCTGATGTTTCACCCACATCTATGGCAGGCATCCTAAGAGGTTGAGGGGTTTATTGGAAACTAGGCAAGTGAGGTTTATATATATATGGAATGTTCGGGGTGGAGAAATAACTCTTTGTCTGCTTGAGGCAAATGTGACTGTTGCAATTGGCCACCTTGATTAGCATTGAATAGCCTTGCAGCTTCAAAGCTTGGCTGGTTGCTGCCTGGGGGAATCCTTTGTCAGGAGACGTTAGCTGGCCCTGATCAATTCTTGTCAATCAATCAATACTAAAAAAAAACGGGAATTTCAGGAACTTGAATGATCATAAGGGTCACTTCAATGTGGCTGTTTTCTCATAGCTTAAAACACTTACTTTTTTGCATTGTTTTTGTATCCCATCTCTTTTTCAGGATGGGAATAAAGGTAGCCCCAAGAAGATTAAAACAAGATACAATTGAAAACTAAACAAGATAATCCAAAGAGTTTTTAAAATCAAACAAGTCTATCCCCCTTAAAACAATATAAAACATAACAATGAGGGTAAAACTATAGCAGCCTCCTTTATAAGTTTCTTCTGCAACCACAGACAAAAGTCCTAACTTGAAAGATGTGTAGAAGTAAGCAGAGAGGAGACCAATGTAGTCTTCTGTAGGAAGGCCCTTGAATTAACTTGAGGAAATTTTAACTGTACTGTTACCACTTTGATACAGGTGCAGCGTTTTAGAGAATCAAGAAAGCAGAATGTAGTGGAAGAGGACGAAGAAGTTCGCGAGGTAATCCTTCATTCTCCTGGCATCTCATGTCTTAAGGAATAACTACATTCTTGGAAGTTTCACTTTTTCTCTTCTGTGCAGAATTTGCTTTGACTCTTCCAGGCAGATATTAAACGTTGCGCCCCCCCCCCCCTCCCCCCAAAGTAAGACCATTCCTTAAACATGGTTTGTTTCATTTCTTCTAGGCTATAAACAGGGCAAAAGCCCACAGATCGCAACGTGAAGATGATGCTTCTTTTATTAGTGATGAGGACCTGATGGAGGCTGTCAGCTATGAAATGAAATCAAATGAAGATTCAGATGATGCTTCTGTGTCTGGACGAGGCAGAGGCCGAGGAAGAAGCCGCGGGAGGGGTGGACGAGGCCAGAACCCCACAGCTCGAGGAGGAGCCCGACGAGGAAGAGGAGGTCAGTGACTTACATTTTATTAGTCATTCGCTTAACAGCTGCTGCCTTTGTACAGTTGGTCCTCCCCATTTATGGGTTTAACTTTAGCAGATTTGATTTTTTGTAGATTTGATCAAAATGTTCTCTTTCATAGTCTAGGCCAGTGGTTCTCAACCTTCCTAATGCTGCAACCCCTTAATATAGTTCCTCATGTTGTAGTGACCCCCAACCTTAACATTATTTTCGTTACTACTTCATAACTATAGTTTTGCTACTGTTATGAATTGTAATGTAAACATCTGATATGCAGGATGTGTTTTCATTGTTACAAATTGAACATAATTAAAGAATAGTGATTAATCACAAAAACAATATGTAAATATATATGGCTGGAGTTAAACTTAAGAAATGTACCTATTCTGGCTTACATACAATTTCAACTTAAGAACAAAGCTACAGAACCTATATTGTTTGTAACTTGGGGACTGCCTGTATATGCCTAAGAGGAGGGATGCATTTGCAAAGACTTGAACAGACATGTGCATGAGAAGGTCTCTTCTTTAGAAGGAGGCTGCTCTGATGTGACTTCAAACCAAATCTGGCTTTTGGAAAACTTAGGCCAAGACCATGATTGTGTTGTCACCATTGCCTTCCTCTGAGGCTGAGAAAGAAAGACAAGGGGGAAAGGGGAAGGGGAGGGAAAGAGCGGAAAAGAGGGGGAAAGGGGWGAGAGAAGGAGAGGCAGTGTAAGGGAGGGAGAGAGAAAGAAGGAAGGAGTGAGGGTCACAAGAGAAAGAGAATGAGGAAGAAAGAAGGAAAGATAGAAAACAAAGGAAAAGAAGGCGAGAGGAGGAAGAAAGGGAGAGAGGCACAAGAGAGAGCAAGGGAGGTAGAGGAAGAATGAGGAAGAAAGAAATAAGGAAGGAAGGGGCACAAGAGAGAGAAAAGGGGATGGAGAGGAAGAAAGATAAAAAGCAAGAAAGAAGGAGAGGGGAGTTAGAGAAGGAGAAAACAAAAGGGAAGGAGAGGAAGGAGAGAGAAAAAGAGAAGGGGGGGAGAGAGATGGGTAGGAAAAAGGGAAAGAGAGAAGGAGTGGGGGAAAGGGATTGTGACAGAAAGGACAAGAAAAAGGGATAGATAAAAAGTAAGGGAGGTGAGAAAGGGAGGGAGATAAAGAAAGAATTATCAATAGAAAGGGAGGGATAGAGAGCAGAAGAGATGAGAAGGGAGGAAGAGAAGGGGTAGAAAGAAGGGGAGAAAGGAAGGGGGAGGAAGAAAGAAAGAAAGAAAGAAAGGGATAGGAAAGAGAAGGAGAAAGAAAGGAAAAGAGGGAGGCAAGAGAAAGAAAAAGGGAAARAGAGAAGGAAAGGGGGAGAAAGAAGGGAAGAGAAAAAAGGAGGGAAAAGAAAAGAAAGGGATAGAATGAGAGAGGAGAGGGGAGAAACGAAAAGRAAGGGGAAAGGGGGAGAGAAGGAAAGGGGAGAAAGAGTGAGGGCCCGTCTTCCCACCACGCACGCCTCTGCCTCCAAATATTTCTGACCGTCTTGAATGGCAAGAAACACCCCATTAGGTTGGGTATGCCAAATGCAGACTCATTATGCTTCCTATAGAGCATTTCCCCTTATCAAATAGCATTTTGCTATCTTACATGGGAAAATTCCCTTTGCTTTGGATACTGAGAGGACTTCTGTAACATGCCATGTTGTTTCTCAAAAGACTGACATTTAAAAACATATCGCTCACACTCTAGCCATGCAGTAGGCAACACAGAGCCATCTAGATATTTTCAACTGCAGCTCCCATAAGCTATGGACAGCAGGACCATAGGATTGGCCTGGGATCATTATGGGTGATACTGTCCAATACATCTTACAGGCGCCAGGTTGTCTCCCCTATTGTAATCTTGAAGAAACTTATAGTAGCTCTTTGGTAATTTAAAGGTTTGGTTGAGAAATGTTGTTCTAGTAATTGTTTTGCAAGGAACTAAATTAAGAGTTTTATTTCTGTTTACTTAAATATTAAATAGCTTACAGATTCCAGTAACAATTACATTTAATAATTCTTTAAAGTACTATTACGTTAGTAAGACAATTAAAAGATTTAGAGTTTACAGTTTTAGGGTTTAAAGGCAAACCGTTGTGCATTATATCTGAATGCAAACATTGCAACAGAAATGGAGAGACAGAAAACCTTGCTTTTACCATATTAGCGTTCTAATAGATAGATAGCTTCTGGTGACGTAGCGGGTTAAAGCTGCTAGCCCCAACTTCTGCCAACCTAGCAGTTCAAAAACATGCTAATGTGAGTAGGTCAATAGGTACTGCTCCAGCAGTTCGGTAATTGCACTTAATTCATTCATGCTGACCACACGACCTCTAGGAGGTGTCTATGGACAACACCAGCTCTTCAGCTTAGAAATGGAGATGAGCACCATCCCCCAGAGTCAGACTCTACTAGACTTAATGTCAGGGGAAACCTTTGCTTTTAATAGATGGATAAGTGAAGAAATGTAAATATCTGAATAACATTTATTTTTCCTACAGGAAATGCTGGCCAAGCCCAAATGAACAGCAGTAGAACAAACAAGTCTCTGAGCTCTCCTCTAAAAAATATGTCCATCTTGGATGGTATGTTCAAATGCAGATTTATTCACAATTTACTGTTTCCTTGAAATATCCCTATATAACCACCCTTCTACTTTTAATAACAGTCTTCTAAGTCAGAAAACCAATGGTAGAATTTTGTCCTCATTTTAGTACAAAAAGATGATAAACACATTCCAGTCTTTCTTGAAATAGATCAAGGTTTTCTCCTTGATGTTATGGCATAATTTTTGATTGACTGTCATTAATGCATTCCATATCATTAGTGCATGGTTATCCTTACATGACAGATGTAAGGAGTTGGCACACACACTCACACATGTTTGTGTGCGTGCTTGCGTGTAGCAATGCATAGACCAGGGCCTATATCAAAATACTTTACTTTAAGGCTCTAATATGACAATTTACAAAGTGGTATGGCTAGTAATGGGGGCCCCTGCTGGTGCAGCGGGTTAAACCACTGAGGTGCTGAACTTGCTGACCAAAAGGTTGATGGTTTAAATCTGGGGAGAGGGGTGAGCTTCTGCTGCTAGGCCCAGCTTCTGCCAACCTAGCAGTTTGAAAACATGCAAAATGTGAATAGATCAATAGGTACCGCTTTGGCAAAGAAGGTAACTGTGTTCCATGCAGTTATGCTGGCCACATGACCATGGAGGTGTCTGCGGACAACATCGGCGGCTCTTCGGCTTAGAAATGGAGATGAGCAACAATCCCTAGAGTCAAGACATGACTAGACTTAATATCAGAGGAAAACTTTACTTTTCTTATGGCTGGTAATACAAATATCTGAGAACTGTTAATCAGGTCTTGTAGCAGAATAAAAGCCTTAACTTTCAGTTTCACATATGTAGTTTCTTTGTGAAAGATTGACCACTTTGAGATCAGCAACAATGTCCCAAGTGATCGTAGAAAGGTTTGAAATATTATCCTGCATTCAGAGGCGGCCCTAGGTAATTTTCAATGGTAATTTTCAATTGGCGCCCCCCCCCCCCACCAATCATTGATCTATATTTTCTGTTCATCGTGGGAGTTCTGTGTGCCATATTTGGTTCAATTCCATCATTGGTGGAGTTCAGAATGCTCTTTGATTGTAGGTGAACTATACATCCCATTAACTACACTTGCCGCACTTGCTCCCTTGCCTGGCCCGCTTTGGGTCCGGAGGCGTGCCTGAAGACCCCGGCGTGTGCACCAAAAGTCACCTCTTCTCCTGACTTTCTCCTCAGCCATTGGGACCAAGAGAGAGAGACAGAGAGACAGAGGTGGAGATGCCCACCTTTCCTGAAGGTAGGCGCAAAAACAAAGGAGGGAGCGGAGGTGGGAGATACCTCCAGCCGGAGGGGCTCTCTCTCTCTCTCTCTCTCTTGGTCCCAATGGCTGAAGAGAAAGTCAGGAGAAGAGGCGACTTTTGGTGCGCACGCTGGGGTCTTCAGACACGCCTCCGGACCCGAAATGGGCCCGGCGCGGCGGCTCCGCCCCTTGGCCCACCCGCGGATTGGGGAGGGGAGAGGAGGTGGGTGGAGCACCGGGGGATCGGGAAAGGGAGCCGGTCATGGGGAAGGGATCGAACGCGGAGAACGATTGAGCGCCGGCTCTGCTTGCGCACCCAGTGGCCGGGTGGAGCAGGAACGAGAGGGGCTAGGCGAGGCTCAAGGGCCCGGCCCCTTTGGGAAGAGGATGCTGGCAGCGAGGCAAGAAAGCCGAGGCTCCCCCCGGACTGCTAGGGCTGTTGTGAGCTGAGGGGGAACTCCTCAAGTGGTGGTCGAGGGGCATTTACAGAGGCGCCTCTGCGCCCCTGGCAAAAAAAAGTGTTCTGCGATCGCTTACTTCACGTAATGGACAAGCCGCCCCTGCCTGCATTTTAAAAAAAAATTAGGGTCATCTGAGATTAAATTTTTGTCGGTTTCTCTGTGTTGATTGATATGCATATCATGTTAGAATATAGAAGTGAATTGTTAGCAGATAACAACCTATATCACAATGAGTAGAAGAATGAACCATTGAGGTAGCTGAAAATGTTATGAGTCCTTCTTATAGTGTTACCTGAAAAGATATGACAAGATCCTTGGCCTCAGAATTCGTTTCAGTTCTTGTTCCAGTGTTTGTCTTCCAGTTGAGTGGCTTGTTTGATTATTTAGATGGGAGATGTGTGTTAGAAAGAACTTTATTGAGAAGTATGGGAAGAGAATTAAAATATCCAGCTCCTGTTGTAAAAATGTATATAAGTATATGTGCTATCATAAGAGTTTGTGTGCAGTTTCTTTGTGTCGTACAAAAAAATTATATTTAGCAACTATTGCTGGCTTTGCTCCTCATTGGCGATTCTGTTTTATCCTCCTCTGCAGGAGGCAATGTGAGCAGGTAGAAGACAAGAGAGCACAATAGGGGGGTTGCAATGCACTATCTGACCCATTGTAATTATTTTTATACACTTACCAGTCAAAGACTAGGTGGCTTTCTCCTCTTGATTGCTTCTCTGTCTGAAGAGAGTGTCATGTATTTGACTCTCGTTATTTCTGCAGGGGTTTGAAAGAAATCAAGAGAATCAATGAACATATTGCTCTTGCATCAAGGTTACTGAAAAGGAAGGATTGAAATAATTCGAACGCCGCTTCTCTTCTCTGCATTTCTTTCATCCTGAAAGGAGATGCAAGAACTATGGCTAGACTATGATAGAATCATAGAGTTGGAAGAGACCCCATGGGCCATCCAGTCCAACCCCTGCCAAGAAGCAGGAACATTGCATTCAAATCACCCCCGACAGATGGCCATCCAGCCCCTGTTTAAAAGCTTCTAAAGAAGGAGCCTCCACCACATTCCGCGGCAGAGAGTTCCACTGCTGAATGGCTCTCACAGTCAGGAAGTTCTTCCTCATGTTCAGATGGAATCTCCTTTGTTGTAGTTTGAAGCCATTGTTCCACATCCTAGTCTCCAGGGAAGCAGAGAACAAGCTTGCTCCCTCCTCCCTGTGACTTCCTCTCACGTATTTATACATGGCTATCATGTCTCCTCTCAGCCTTCTCTTCTTCAGGCTAAACATGCCCAGCTCTTTAAGCCGCTCCTCTTAGACATTGTTCCCCATTCTGTATCTTTGCATTTTGTTTTTTTCTGCCTAAGTGGAGTATCTTGCATTTGTCACTGTTGAACTTCATTTTCTGATAATGAGCAGTGGTACAACCTTTCAGAACTTGGAATGTTAATTTTAAAGACAAATCATGGTGCAAATCATTCTAAGTGAATATGTGGTCCATTATATATAGTCCATTATATGTGGTCAAGCTCTAGTTTCCTATATTACATTACTTTTCAGATTTTGTAGGTCAAACTGAATTATTTCTGATCCTGTTAGATTGCTCTGTTTTAATGATATTTCCCATGCTATTATACATTGTCATCCACCTTGTTGAATCAATTACTCTTTAATCAGCCTGTATTTTGGCCTCCCCCCCTTTTTGAAATTAGTTCTTTTGTTGCTTGATGCTTGTCTATTATTGTTATACTGTTTTATGCTTTTTAAATTGCATTTTGTTATTGTTCCGCTTTTAATTGTATGTTCCCTGGGCTTGGCTCCATGTAAGTCACACTGAGCCCCTTTGGGGAGATGGAGGCGGGGTAGAAAAATAAACAACTTCTTCTTCTCCTCCTCCTCCTCCTCCTTCTTTATTCTTTATTCTTAATATTACTGTTTTTAAAATATTATCTCACAAAATTACTTGTTACTTATTCATTCCCCCTTTAAAGAAAAATTTCTGAATATTAACAAGAAAATACCACAACAATGCAAAGTTCTGTTCAAAGTAGTATTTAAAAGCCCTTTTAAAATAACACAAGAGGATTCTTTTTACCCATACCCATGAAAAAAAATGAATGATGCTGATCCTACTACACTAATTCTTGAAATGTAACATTGTCCTTGATCATTTTTTCTCGTCATTTTCTGTTGGGAAAAAGACCTCTCTTTGCCTTCCATACCTTTAATGGCAAGCCAACAAATTATTTGTATGTGTGTATTCAACTCTGAAAGATTTCCTGTGAGGGGCACTTTGACTTCCTAAAGCAGTGATTCCTAACCCTTTTTTGAGCAGGAACCACTTGGACAGAGACTGCTTTGACCACTCCGACATTAGTACCAAAAAGGCAAATCGGTTTTTGGTCAGCTTTAGATTCGGTTTGGTTATTTGGGGTGCTGATTCAGAAAATTGCATTGGCTAGACCACATCAGCTCTAGTTTCTGATACAGAATATGTGCCATCCAGTAGTCACCATCAGCTCGCCCACAGAAAACCATATTTAATAATCTAGAGCTGATGTGGTTGTACTAATGTTTTGTGGGTAGTCAACCTCTCCCCTCCCAACATCCCCGTTGCCTTGGCACTATAAGAGGTTTTCGTGAGACCAGTCACTCTTGTTGCCACGTGGTTTCGAGACAACGATGTAGTAATGGTGAGGCCGCGGATCATATTTCATTCTTGGAGACCACTGGTGGTCCATGGACCACAGGTTGGGAACCACTTTCCTAAAGGAATGCTTCAGACATGGATTGCTCTACTAGTCAGGCTTTGACTAGATGTCTCTAGGGACCCTTTCAGCACTGATTCTGTAATTCCGTTTGTTATTTGTCCCAAGTAGCATATATACCCAGCATTGCCCAGGTGTTGGGAGAAGCCAATACCACCTGCTGTCTCTTTTTTCTTTATCTCCCCTCATAACCTTTTCATCCTTCCTTCACCATTCCTTTCTTTCCCTTCTTTTTTTTCTTCCGCTTGCATTTCTTCTTTCTCTAACTCTGAGAGGGCCTACCTCACAATGTCTCCATGGTTAACATGGCACTATTTGTGGTTCTTTCTTTCCTTCCTCTCTTTCCTCACGTCACTTTCTTTCCCAGCGTGACACTTCATCTAGCAACAGCCTTTGTGGCACACTCCAACAAACAGACAAACTTTGACTTCTATACATATAGTTGGTTGATAAGTCATCTCTGCGAACTTATTTGTATGAGTTCCAATCTGGAAAAAGGTTGAATATAGACAAAGGGATGAATGGATAATAATAATAATAATAATAATAATAATAATAATAATAATAATAATAATATACACTTTATTTATATTCTGCCCTTCTCTCCTAGAGGACTCAGAGTGGATTACAGCATTTACATACACAGGCGAACATTCAATGTCTTTACAATCATAGACAGTGAAACACACAAACAAAGGCAGAAGCTTCTCTTTTTCTCCAATAGGCCTGTCTTGTCACCTCCTGGTTGTGTGGCTGGCAAGATTGCTTGGAGCATCTCTTTGCCTTTTCCTGCCAAAGTGGTACCTATTTACCTACTCACATTTCCATGTGGATTCAAACTGACAACCTTTATGTCAGCAGTTCAGCAGGACAAGGGTATAACCCATTGCGCCACCACGGCTACCATCTATTTTCTCTGACCTATAAGTATCAGGTATCAGTAAATTTCATTCAATACACATCAGAATCCCAATATTTGTTGCATTAAGCTAATTTCTACAGTTGATATGCTTTTTCTTGTCATCTGTTATAGTCATATTGATAATTCTGAATGATTCCGTCTGAGGTTTTCTTACTGTGATGTTTCTACTTTTCAAAGAGCTTCCCTCCCTCTCTTTTTGGAAATACAGACATATTTCCTACAGTAATATTTCTTACTTTATTTAATTCCAGCATTTAAGTCAACAAGACAGCAGCCTTCCCGGAATAAGCCTTCCAGGAATTATTCAGAGGTGAATAACTAGCTACTTTATGGATACTAAGCTTAGCATTTCTTTTGTGTATAGTACATAGCGGCATTGTAAATTTCCTTAGTATGAGATATGTTTAACTTATATGTGCAATACAAAAGAGGACATTTTGAGCAGAAGCACAATTAAGAAATCCAGCTCAATAAACACACTTAGTTAGGACAAGCCAAGCTACCAACCTAAGTACAACAGAAGCAAACAACCAATAAAAGGAGTTTGCTTTGATGAGATATATACAGATACACATACTTTGGAGATTAAGTTATATAATTACTAATAACAAAAGATATGAAGGCCAAATAAGATAAAGCAAACAGCACAATTAATGAGGCAAGCCAGCTTGGAAATTGTCAGAAAAATCAAAGTCTGTATCAGTGTAGTGTAAATTCACATAGAAAATAAGAAATTTAATGTAACAGTAATTTTAACAATCACACAGACTCCTGTAGAAGCAAAAGTTTGCATGTCTTATTTATATTGTAATTTATTAACATATTTTTCCATATTCTTACTGTTTATTGACATGTCCTTGCAGTCAAATGTTGATGTTGTTGATTATATTCCTGCCCGTAGTCTGAATAGATGTGTCTCATACAGTTTGATTTTAGTCTGCTCAGTGAATCGTGCATTGTTTGTGGTTCTTTATTGCTTTCCCTCAAAAGGTACTCATAATGCATGACAAAAAAAAAATATCAAGAGAAATCCTACCTTAAACACACAAAAAATAGTAATGAAATGAGGAGAAAATTAAGCTATATTTTTGTGATTGTATTGAAAATATCATTATTCTTATCCCACCAGGTTATTGAAGATGATGACTCTGATCTAGAGGAAGTGTCCTTCACTCCATCTTCCACTGTCAGTCAGAGGTTAGCACAGTCATACTTCTATGATTGTATAGGTTGTTTGGGAGAGAAAATCCATTTCTACAACAACAAAAAGCAGGAAAGCATTGAGTGCTAGGGAAATTGAATACTTCTTATTTTTTCATTTGTGATATTGACAAAATAATTGTAATGTGACAGACAGACCAAATGATAAATCCTTAGACCAGAGAGAGAACACATTTTTCAAAAATATGGCAAGAGTCAAATGGAACACACAGCAAACTATCATCTGGAAAGAGGGATGCTGCCAGAAATATTTGGGGGGGGGGGGGGGCTCTGAAGAAGATTATACACTGCAAACATGTTTCTATGACAGAAAGCTAAGTTGTCTTGGCAGTAGTCTGTTAGGACTGTATAGATAGCAACAGTGTCTTAAATTGAGACAAGTTGTCAGCCAGTTCAGTGACTATACTAATAGTTGTTCATGTCATGCTTCCATTGATGATAACAATTCTCCTTGCTCACAATGCGTAGATTACCAAGTGCATCGGTATCCAGCAAAAGGAGCTCACAGAGTCAGGCATCAAGAGGAGGAGTAGACTTTGATTCAGATGAGGTATAAAAAATGATCTTCTCTTAATGTATTTGGTTTCATCCGTATGAAGTCCAAAAAAACACCTGGAGGGGTGAAGTTTGCCTATGCCTGATGTAGTGCTTACAGTACTTGTTGACCTGTGGGCAACATCTACTGTAATTGGGGAGTTAATTTTCTTACTACAGTTTATTTACTTATTCAAGAGTATAAACATCACATTTAGATGAAATATTAAACTGTAGTATTGTTTGCACGGTGTTGTTTCCAATATTGGTTTCCAATACTGTGTTCTAGGCCTGTTAATAAGTATCAGTAGGCAAGCAGATTTTTTGCGAACAAAGATAAAGCAAAAACTGAGAAGTCAGTTGAAATCATATAAATGAAAGCAAGGATTGTATAAACATACCCTCAGTTTTTTTTAAAGAAATTCACAATTGTATAATAGAGACAAACTGGAAGAGACTGGAGAAATATTTTTGAGGTGTCAGCAAGTCAGTGCTTTCAGAAGATCAGAAACTATTCATAGATGTTGAAGTAATATTCGAGTCTAATGTGCCATCAAATCTAATGCACATCTCAATTTTCAAAACCCTGAAACCAAAAAAAAGTATTTGCTGGCAAATATAATGCACAGTGGCAAAAAGTGCACTCTTTGTGATTTCGACAAAAAAGGTGCAAATTACGGTGGTTACATGCTTATAATTCCTTCTTTAAAAACAAAAATGTGAGAACGCCAAAGCTTTCAGCAATGGAAAAGAAAACCTTGGGGTACATCTATGGCAGGGGTCCTCAAACAAAGGCCCGGGAGCCGGATATGGCCCTCCAAGGTCATTTACCCGGCCCTTGCTCAGGGTCAACGTAAGTCTGAAATGACTTGAAAGCATACAACAACAATAACAATCCTATCTCATCAGCCAAAAGCCGGCCCACACTTCCCATTGAAATACTAATAAGTTTATATGTGCTAAAATTGATCTTCATTTTAATTATTGTATTGTTTTTGCACTACAAATAAGATATGTGCAGTGTGCATAGGAATTAATTCATGTTGGGGGTTTTTTCAAATTATTATCTGGCCCTCAGTTTAAGGGACTGTGACCTGGCCCTCTGCTTAAAAAGTTTGTGGACCCGTGATCTATGGTATAGAATGAATCGGCTTTAACTTCAATAGGTCCTCCAGACACTCCTGAAGTACTTTCCCTGTTTGCTTAAGATTACCATATTACGCAAATCTAATGTGTGTAATGTATTTATATATTTACCATATTTGTATCCCGCTTTTCCCAACCCTGAAGGGGACTCAAGGTGGCCTTACAAAGGCAACTATTCAATGCCGCATGTATACATACATCAATGAATAGACAAAAACTTGAAAACCATCCAATTAAAACATAACATTAAAACAATAATTAAAATCACATAGTCCAATTAGCCAAAAAAGGTGAACATTAAATTCGAGCAAATATAGTAATTAAAACAACAACATTCAAATAGTACTGGGTATTGAATAAAACAACTTAGTTGGGTAAAGTCCTAGTCTAGTCCGGTAGATTTGATTTCCTTTTAAATATTGCATGTTTACTGCATAAATGCCGTTTTCTTATCATTGATTTACAGGATGATTTATTCAAGAGTGCAACTACCTCAAGAAGAAACCGATGACATTTTCAGAAACCACTTATGCAAAAATACCACAGGTGAAGAAAAAACTCCTGACTTTTCTGTAAAGTGGTGGTATGAAGTATGCAATCTCTTTCATCACCAGTTTTCTGTTTGTTAAGCATTTCCTTGTAATGTTTTGCTTCCTTGCCAAAGGGATAATCTTTGGATAAGCAATACCATAGCAAAGTCTGTGTGTTGGATTGAGAGTCGTCATGGCAGATTCCAAATACAAATGACATGGCAATTTTCTCCCAATTAGTCCGTTCCCCAAATATTTTTCAGTACCTCAAAAAATGGTAGGGAGGCTGAGAGATTGCAACTCTGAGGGGAGTTCAGGAGCAGGAAATTGGCAAAAACCTCCTCAGCTTTTTCCTGCTGAAATTTCTGTTACCTTTCAGTCTCTTTGACAATAGAAAACCAATTTCATATCTATCCCCAGTAGAAACAGCAATCTCTACTTATCCAGCTCCTGCTGTTTCCATTTTTTAAATTCATGCAGAAAAAATAAATAGCAATAATAAAGTATTTTCCTTATCACTGAGAGACATTTTAAAGGATTCTTTTCTTCCATTTTAAAAAAAATTGTACAGAAAAATAAATTAGAAATGTCTGTTTAGGTGAATGATAATGCTCTCTTTGCTTTCCAGAACTTTTGTCGGAGGGAATGTAATACAATTAAAAACTTTTCCAAAGATTACTGTGCTCTGTCTCAACACTTAGTTTGACCTGGTTGTTTAATATTCATGGGTTTGCAAAAAGCAGCTGCTTATGTTGACCTGATACTGGTTAGAGAGTCATATAATAATAGGAATAATTAGCATAAGATTTGTGGACATTGCTATAAAATAGGCACTGCATGGATACAGTGCCTTTGGTCCATCTAGAATTTAGTTCTCTTTCCTTAGTTTGGTTTGTTTCTGCACACCCAAATCAAAGCCATTGTTTCCTTTGCGTTTACATTATATTTTGAAGATGAAGTCCAGCATTACTCATCAAGGGCTGGGCTCTTAAAAATCAGGTTGAAATTTGTCAATTTTGAATGGTACGATATATTTTCACACCATATATATATATATAGAGAGAGAGAGAGACAATATTATTGTATTTTTATACTTATTTTGTCTCTTAAGAAGAAAAGAAGACTCAAGGATGTTAAATGTACGATACAGGAAAAGTGTAGATTGATATAGATGAACTATTTGCTATTTCTCTTCCATATATTTTATCAGCATTTCTCATGTGTTGTCAAAGGCTTTCATGGTCAGAATCACTGGGTTGATGTGAATTTTCCGGGCTGTATGACCATGTTCCAGAAGCATTTTCTCCTGACATTTCACTGTATGGGCATGTTCCAGAAGCATTCTCTCATGACGTTTCTCCCACATCTATGGCAGGCATCCTCAGAGTTTGTGATGTCTGTTGGAAACTAGACAAGTGAGGTTTATATAGTTGTGGAATGTCCAGGATGGGAGAAAGAACTCTTGTCTGCTTGAGGCAAGTGTGAATTTTGCAATTGGCCGCCTTGATTAGCATTTCATTAGAGTTCTTTCTCCCACCTTAGACATTCCACAGGTATATAAACCTCACTTGCCTAGTTTCCAGTAGACCTCACAACCTTTGAAGATGCCTGCCATAGATGTGGGTGAAACGTTAGGAGAGAATGCTTCTGGAACATGGCCATATAGCCCAGCCATACAACCCAGCATTTCTCAAGTTCGTTTAGAAAGAAAGTGAAGACAATAGTTAAGAAGAAAGATGTGAGAACTACAGTATTTATGTAGCTGGGTTGCATTACAGTATCTCTGTTCTTCGTGTGTGTGTGTGTGGAGAGAGGGGACCAGGGTTTTATTGACAACTCATAACTTTCCTTGGGAATCACACTTTATTTGAGTCCTCTTTTTTTTTTTTTTGCATCTACCAGTTGGACTGGAGTTACATGGTTCTATGCACAACAGTTTCGTAATTTTTTCCAGCCTTTAATGGCTGAAAATACATTTCTTTAAACATGATTTCTTTATTGTACGCACTAAAGAATATAGCATTTATATTGTGCACCAAAAGATGCATTGTTTACAGGTTGAACAGGTAGAAGTAGAAGTTAATAAAAACCTCAGTTCATAAATGGCAATTCAAAGACTTGACAGGAAATGGAAAGCCCTCAAAGCACTTGTGATCCAACATAAAAAGTTGCTCACGACAAAGAAACCATTGTTGCCAGTTCTATACCTATGGACATATAATTCACTGGTTCTACAATAGGAGGAAACTGAACTTCCTAATGAAAAACCTTGACCACATTGCGTTACCAAGGGAATGGATGGATGGATGATAAAAACCTGTTCTCCTTTGACCAGTTGAAACTTTTCTGTGTCTACAAGACAACAGGTCTGTAAAGATCAGCAAGTTTTGTGGCTTATTAGCAGAGGCTCCAACTCAAATTTCACCTGTAGAGAAACATGCTTGTGGATGGTACATGTCAAGCTGTATGTGCTTTCAATAAAAGATCTAACTTACTAAACCCAATTCTAAGGCTTCTTATGCATATTTATGAAACTTCTTATTGAACATGAATTCTCATATTTAATTATTTTGTAAAATTATGCTTATATAATGGAGATTATATGTCTATCTCAAATTTTAACAAAGTGGCAGCCCAGCCCTATATGTTCGTTCATAATATAAAAACAGGAATAGTCTTAAGATATATTGTGGACAGGATTCAACAAGCCTCATTAGGGATATTCAAGGGCTTAAATGTGCTGGTTGGAAAGTAAGCTGCTCAAAAACAATGGATCTTCTGAAGAGTCAGAAACCTCAGGGTGTAGTTCACATGATTACATTTCTTCAACCAGGGATGCATCTACACTGTAGAATTAATGTAGTTTGACACCACTTTAACTGCCATAGTTGTTTCACTCCAGGCCAGGAACACCTCTGTACTTAACCATCACACTTCAGGCTAAGTTAAATCAGCAAAGCAGTTTATTGAAGATTATATAAAAAGCAGCTGCAAAAATAATAAAACTTCAAAGTCCACAAAGTTCAAGGTACAGGAGTAATCCAAAATCCCAAAGCAATAGAATATCCAGCACAGGGATGCAAGGAAACCAGAAAATACAAGAAAGCATAATATCCAGTGCAAAAATCCAGGAATAACCCTTCAAACTGGGAAGCATAAAACAGGAGCAAAGACATGAAACTAGAATTCCCTCAGAAAACTTGACCAGGACTTGGCATGAGCTGTTGTCTCAATTACCAACGTTGACTAGACTGGCCAAGAAATAATCCCGACCTCTCTAATAAAGACATGAAATCATGCTTTCTCCCATGAGTTTCTGCTATGGGTTTCTTCTGTAAGAGGTGCTGTAACCTTTGGAGATTTTGTGGAGCAGCCCGAAATTTGCGAAAACGAAGTCTCCTATCTACCAGTTCATTATCTTGCAACTCATTATTTTCTGCACCTGGGATTTCAGCCTCTGAACTCTTCCCTAGAGAACAGCTCCTCTGCTCCATGTGGAATGTGACCTTCACTGACTGTTGGAAGTACAGGCTGCTCATTATCAGGACTTCAAATCTCATGATGGCTCGCAGGCTCAGAATCCCCATGACTTAAATCCACATTAACATGAGTACCAGACACAATAATGGGCTGCGCTGCAAGAGTTACTTAACTGCTATAGAATCCTGTGGTTTGGTCATCAGTTGGGGACCCCTCCCCCAGTACCAACTGCTGCTCTGGGCCAGAGTGAAGAGAGAGGGGGACAGTTCCATCTTGTCTCCTGCATATGTCATCATTTGGGGACCCCTTCCCCCAGCAGCAACTGCTGCTCTGGGCCAGAGCGAAGAGAGAGGGGGCCAGGGGACAGTTCCATCTTGTCTCCTCCATATGTCATTATTTGGGGACCCCTTCCCCCAGCAGCAACTGCTGCTCTGGGTCAGAGTGAAGAGAGAAGGGACCAGAGGACAGTTCCGACTTGTCCCGTGCATATGTCATCAGTTGGGGACCCCTCCCCACAGCACCAACTGCTTCTCTGGGCCAGAGTGAAGAGAGAGGGGGCCAGGGGACAGTTCCGTCTTGTCCCCTGCATATGTCATCAGTTGGGGACCTCTCCCCACAGCACCAACTGCTTCTCTGGGCCAGAGTGAAGAGAGAGGGGACCAGAGGACAGTTCCGTCTTGTCTCCTACATATGTCATCAGTTGGGGACCCCTCCCCGCAGCACCAACTGCTTCTCTGGGCCAGAGTGAAGAGAGAGGGGACCAAAGGACAGTTCCGTCTTGTCTCCTGCATATGTCATCAGTTGGATCGGCTTAGATGATGCTACTGGAAAGTGAGATTAACAGGAAGACATTGATTATTCCATCTTGTCTCCTTCATATGTCATCAGTTGGGGACCCCTCCCCCCAGCACCAACTGCTTCTCTGGGCCAGAGTGAAGAGAGAGGGGCCAGGGGACAGTTCCGTCTTGTCTCCTGCATATGTCATCAGTTGGGGACCCCTCCCCACAGCACCAACTGCTGCTCTGGGCCAGAGTGAAGAGAGGGGGCCAGGGGACAGTTCCATCTTGTCTCCTGCATATGTCATCAGTTGGGGACCCCTCCCCACAGCACCAACTGCTTCTCTGGGCCAGAGTGAAGAGAGAGGGGACCAGAGGACAGTTCCGTCTTGTCTCCTACATATGTCATCAGTTGGGGACCCCTCCCCGCAGCACCAACTGCTTCTCTGGGCCAGAGTGAAGAGAGAGGGGACCAAAGGACAGTTCCGTCTTGTCTCCTGCATATGTCATCAGTTGGGGACCCCTCCCCATAGCACCAACTGCTGCTCTGGGCCAGTGAAGAGAGAGGGGACCAGAGGACAGTTCCGTCTTGTCTCTTGCATATGTCATCAGTTGGGGACCCCTCCCCACAGCACCAACTGCTTCTCTGGGCCAGAGTGAAGAGAGAGGGGACCAGAGGACAGTTCCGTCTTGTCTCCTACATATGTCATCAGTTGGGGACCCCTCCCCGCAGCACCAACTGCTTCTCTGGGCCAGAGTGAAGTGAAAGGGGACCAGAGGACAGTTCCGTCTTGTCTCCTGCATATATCATCAGTTGGGGACCCCTCCCCCCAGCACCAGCTGCTGCTCTGGGCCAGAGTGAAGAGAGGGGGCCAGGGGACAGTTCCATCTTGTCTCCTGCATATGTCATCAGTTTGAGGACCCCTCCACCCAGCACCAACTGCTGCTCTGGGCCAGAGTGAAGAGAGAGGGGGGCAGGGGACAGTTCCATCTTGTCTCCTGCATATGTCATCAGTCGGGGACCCCTCCCTCCAGCACCAACTGCTGCTTTGGGCCAGAGTGAAGAGAGAGGGGGGCAGAAGACAGTTCCACCTTGTTTCCTGTGCTATTCTAATAATACAATACAATGTATTATAATATATTGTATATACATATAATATTTATAATATTGTAATGCAATATAATACTACTAATAATAATATGATGTAATTATATATTTATATTGAATGTAATATTACTAATAATATTGCAATATAATGGTATAGTACAATATAGTAATATTTAATACTGATATTGTCCTATGCTAATAATATAATGTATGTATATATATCTTGTAAGCCGCTTTGAGTCCCCTTCGGGGTGAGAAGGGCAGCATATAAATGTTGAAAATAAATAAATAAATAAATTTGGTGAGGTGCCATCAGTCTTCCTCAGGGAACACTTTAGGCTTTGTAAAACAACTCCCATGATTCCATCAGATTGAACCATGAAAATTAAAGAAGTTTCAAACTACATTACTTCTACAATGTGGATCCACCCCACATTGCTTGTTATTTGGATGTTATTATAATGGCTAAAGGAACAGGATATGTTCTGTAAAATCTCACTTCAGAGACAATTTGTTCTTCAGACCGCAATCTATTCTGCATTCGCTTAGTCACAAATAAGGCCCCTTCAGTGGTACTTACATCTGAGTCAACATATAAAAGGGGGCACTAGTTATTTCAGCAAACTATTTTTAAATCAAAAGTGGGAACCTTACATGTTAAAAAATAAATGGTCCTTGCAGCTTCTGATGGTTGTAATAATGGCTGTAAATTTCCTCTCCAGGTGGTCATAAATCTACCAGACCAAGATAAGTAATTCCAAAGTAATGAGAGAAAGTGGCAATTTCCCAGCATGCAAGCAAATACAATATGATTAAATGCATAGTAAAATCAACCATTCAATATATACGAAATACAAGAATCTTACATTTAAAAAATCAAAACAGGAGATGTGATGAGAGTGAATAAATCAAAGCCTCATCCAGAAGTGCTCCTACTTAGAAAGGAAATGTGCTAGATGGTTTTACCATGGAAGATAAACCTACCAAATAATAGGGATTCAAAAAGCCAAAAGGAAAGGAATTGCATAATAACCGGGATGTAATATAATAGAAGCAATAAATATTATACTGATATGTACAATTCGTTTGCCTTATCTACTAGCTTGTAGAATGCTCCCAAGAAAAATGTGTAGTACGCCAATTAAGCCAGCAAAATACATTCAAGGTTTGTAAGCTTTTGAAAGTGCACTCAAGTCATCACAATCCAATTCTAACATACAATTCCCTGCAAAAAAATAAATAAATAGAAAGCATAAACTATTTCAAGCATATAAGCATAAAATGACCACCTGGAGTGCACCACCTGACATCCACCGGGAAGTAGCAGCCAATAGTGAAAGGACCAAGGCAGTGACATCTCCAGCTCATCCCTTGTTTGGGTATCAGCCAGCACGTCAACGACTTAAATCAAGAAATAGTTTTCTAAGATCTACAGAGACACTTGCTGGAACACCCCAGCAAGCGAGAGTCCAAAAGTGGCAGGCTCAAACCCAGAACCTCAATCAATGACTGATACCAAATGAGAGACTCCCCCTGGGCACACAGAAGACTGGGCGACTTGGAAGGCGCTGAACAGACTGCGCTCTGGCACCACGAGATGCAGAGCCAACCTTCAGAAATGGGGCCACAAAGTGGAATCCACGACATGCGAGTGTGGAGAAGAGCAAACCACTGACCACCTGCTGCAATGCAACCTGAGCCCTGCCACATGCACAATGGAGGACCTTCTTGCGGCAACACCAGAGGCACTCCAAGTGGCCAGATACTGGTCAAAGGACATTTAATCAACTACCAAGCTTGCAAACTGTGGGTTTTTCTGTCTGTTTTTTTGTTTTTGTTAAAAATGTAATACAAATGTCTGGTTGCTGATGACACGACAAATAAATAAATAAATAAATAAGCATAAAATGTAACACTTAAAAATAGTCTGATCAATTCTACACAGGGTTTGTCTCCAATCTCTGTCGTCATCATAGATGATCCTCTGTGGTCATATATGATTGTCTTCCAGAAGTAGTATCTTGGCATTGGGTCCATGAGTAACTATAGATACCTGTTCTGGATCCGCATGGTCTTTCACAATGAAGGCATCAATTTCCAGAGGAAAGGTGGCCATAACAAGGGTTTGCCTGACATGCCTTCCTCTTGGCACGGTTCCCTCCTTTGCCCTCTATTTGTGCCTCTTCAAAATCCACAGCACTGTTAGTAACAGTTGACCTCCAGTTAGAAGGCTCGGAGTTTTCCATTTCTAGATGTTTATTCCATGTTTTTAAAGGTTTTAAGCCCATCTTTATATCTCTCTTGCTGCCCACCAGCATTCTGTTTTCAATCTATATTTTGGGGAGGATTCACAAAAACTGGGAGATATCGTGTACAACATAAATACCTTGAAATAAACTGCACTGGAAGATACAATGAATCACAAATCTAAATGAACACACCAATACAACTTCCGTATTTGTGGAGGATTTTGTAGATACACAAAACTAGATAATAGCAAGCCCTTTTGAAATGAAAGGCTTCTGGCCCAGGAATATTACAGAATTGCATTGGAAGATCTATTTCTCAATTTAAGTCATTGGCGTGCTGGCTGATACCCAAACAGGGGGTGGGCTCGAGATGTGGCTTTAAGGTTTTATATGTTTTTAATGATTGTTTTAATGTATATGTTCTTATATACAGAACATATACATTAAAACATATGAGAGACTCCCCCCATATACATTAAAACAATCATTAAAAACATATAAAACCTTAAAGCCACATCTCCAGCCCACCCCCTGTTTGGGTATCAGCCAGCACGCCAATGACTTAAATTGAGAAATAGTTTTCTAAGATCTACAAATACACTCACTGGAACAGCAAGCGAGAGTCCAAAAGTGGCAGCCTCAAACCCAGAACTTCAACCAATGGCTGATACCAAATGAGAGACTCTCCCCTGGGCACACAGAAGTGTGGGTAACTTGGAAGGCGCTGAACAGACTGCGCTCTGGCACCACGAGATGCAGAGCCAATCTTAAGAAATGGGGCTACAAAGTGGAATCCACGACATGCGAGTGTGAAGAAGAGCAAACCACAGACCACCTACTGCAATGCAACCTGAGCCCTGCCACATGCACAATGCAGGACCTCCTTGCAGCAACACCAGAGGCACTCCAAGTGGCCATCTACTGGTCAAAGGACATTTAATAGAATGCCAAGTCTGCAAACTTTGCACTTTGTTTGTCTGTCTGTTTTTTTAATGCAATACAATTGTTTTGGTTCGCTTCTGACAGGATAAATAAATGGGGTGAGCTCCCACTGTTACCATCAGCTTCTGCCAACCTAGCAGTTTGTAAACATGCAAATGTGAGTAGATCAATAGGTATCACTTTGGTGGGAAGGTAATGGCCCTTCATGCAGTCATGTTGGCCACATGACCTAGGAGGTGTCTACGGACAACGCCGGCTCTTCAGCTTAGAAATGGAGAGGAAAACCACCCCCCAGAGTCAGACACAACTAGACTTAATGTCAAGGGGCAATCTTTACCTTTACCTAATCTACCATGTACTTGAACAGGTGTGAATACCTGGAAAGAAACATTATAGATGCTGACCAAGGAAGCAGCTACTGCTAGGTTGCAATAATATAAAGAGACCACTTGGCACTACATTGTGGTACTTTAATTCTCCTCCTTTCCTTCCTCCCCCTTTGTGTAGATCCTAGAGGGGATGAGCATACATGAAATGTACATTTCAGAGTAGGAAAAGCAACACACAGCAACGTCTCTAGTAGTCTGCCTCTTAAGAATTAATGCACTGTCAAGCCAGTGCCTCGACTGCATGAGAGACTTGGAAAGAAACAATCACTGGCTGAGAAATCCTGCTGGCATTTTGTAAAGAGATGTCGGCACCTTGTTTGCAATCATAAAGGCTGCTGCTTTTATATATTGTATCGACTGAGCTCACAATACCCCAATATAAGGATCTATTTCTGAGCCTTCAGAGTGAAGAAGGCTGAATGAAGTCTTCTATCCGGTCAACGAGCCAAAAATGATTACTCGCTACATGTGGTTTTGCTTTCCATTCTTGATTAATGCTGTGGAAATAAAGTTTCCAATCAATGGAAGCACAACAGCGTTTTTTGGATTTCCAAATATCTCTTTCTTTTCATGGGCAAACTATACACGGGAGGATTGGGTGCGCTTTCTGGATGGAAAAAGATACGGGGTCGGTTCCCAAAATCCTATTGTGAAAACCCTCCTGATTGTGGCGTACTCCTTTATCATCGTGGTCTCTCTTTTTGGCAATGTCTTGGTGTGCCACGTCATGAAGAAAAGCAAGCGGATGCGTTTTGCCACCAGCCTGTTCATTGCGAATCTTGCTGTAGCGGACATCATGATCACCTTCCTCAACACTCCTTTTACCTTGGTAAGGATTCAGGAAAAAGGTCCATTTCTGAAATAATCATTAAATAATATGTATGCTTATGTAATTGCAAATATTGCTTAGTTCTTTTTATGAAGAAATGACTCTTTCATTGATGGCTAGAAAATACTTCTTTTCAAAATAATGCTTTTTCTAAATGTGTTGGAGAGCAAAGAAGCGATTTTTCAAAAATGTAACATTAGTATTTGACAGTTCATTGATAGGGATAACCCAGGCATGGGCAAACTTTGGCCTTCCAGGTGTTTTGGACTTCAACTCCCACAATTCCTAACAGCCTACTGGCTGTTAGGACTTGTGGGAGTTGAAGTCCAAAACACCTGGAGGGCCAAAGTTTGCCCATGCCTGGGATAACCTGCAGGAAGTAGTTTTCGTATTCATTTGTATGGTATCATTCAGGAGTTCTGGTTCTCTTAATATACTTTTAATGGTTTCAAGAACTAGCATACTCCCTTGTCACAAAAGTAGCAGAGTTTGTTATGTTTTGGTTTATTAATATATAATATAATATAAAAGTTAGTTATATCCTGTCCTATCTCCCCTTGGAGACTCATGGCTTGATATGTAGAAATGCCTGAGATATGTGCAAAGTACAGTACTTTTGGTCTATTATGTTGACTAGGTAGGAGTAGGTGCGTGTGTGCATACACACTACACATACAATAGTCATTAGCCTTTAAATTGTTTCCTCATTTCAGAAATAAATGCTTAATAAATTAGAAGACGTCACTGTTCACAGACAGTTTCTGATTGCTGAATTGGTCGCTATGCACTTAATGCAGCTTCATGTTGCTTGGTCAAACTCTGGTGCTGAAAATCCCTTTTATCACAGCATGAGACATGCTCCAAGCATTTATTGTAAATTTCTATCACATCAGGCAATCAGGTTCAGATTGTTTAGCTCAGTGGTTCTCAACCTGTGGGTCTCCAGGTGCTTTGTCCTACAACTCCCAGAAATCCCAGCCACTCTACCAGCTACATTTAAATACATGTATAACAATTGGGAGCCCCCAGTGTCGCATTGGGTTAAAATGCTGAGCTGCCGAGCTTGTTGACTGAAAGGCCACAGGTTTAAATCTGGGGAGTGGTGTGAGCTCCTGCTGTTAGCCCCAGATCCTGCCAACCTAGCAGTTTGAAAACCTGCAAATGTGAGTAGGTCAATAGGTACCGCTCCGGTGGGAAGGTAACAGCGTTCCATGCAGTCATGCCAGCCACATGACCTTGGAGGTGTTTATGGACAATGCTGGCTCTTTGATTTAGAAATGGAGATGAGCACCGGCGGGAAGGTAACGACGCTCCATACAGTCATGCTGGCCACATGACCTTGGAGGTGTCAACGGACAATGCCGGCTGTTTGGCTTAGAAATGGAGATGACTACCACACCCCAGAGTCGGACACGACTGGACTTCATGTCAGGGGAAAACCTTTTCCTTTACCTATAACAATTCCGTGGAAGTCATCATTGAATCTGAATTAATTAGGTTGCCAGTAAGTTTACTCACTCCTTTTGAAATAGACTAAAAATGAGAACTAGCATGTGTGTGGCACAAATATAATTATTTGAGGGCCTTGGTACTCTATGTAGAGTGTTTCGAGTGTCTTGAATTCGTTATCTTACTGTAATAGCAAATACCACCAGCATTGAAGCAATGCTTTACTGCCATCAACACCGCTGGACTGGCCACGTTGTCCGAATGCCTGATCACTGTCTCCCAAAGCAGTCACTCTATTTCGAACTCAAAAATGGAAAACGGAATGTTGGTGGACAGGAAAAGAGATTTAAAGATGGGCTTCAAGCCAACCTCAAAAACTGTGACATAGACACTGAGAACTGGGAAGCCCTGGCCCTTGAGCGTTCTAACTGGAGGTCAGCTGTGACTGGCAGTGCTGCAGAATTTGAAGAGGTACACATGCCAAGAGGAAGGTGACTCAAGCCAACCCTGACTGGGACCACCTTCCATTTGGAAACCAATGTCCTCACTGTAGGAGAACATGCAGATCAAGAATAGGGCTCCACTGCCACCTACGGACCCACCACCAAGACACCACATCTGGAAGACAATCATCCTTGAGCTACGAGGGCTTGCTAAGAAGAAGAAGACTGTAATTGAAACAAAACTTGTAAAGTAGGTAAGTATTGTGATCTTTCTCTTCTAGATTGTTGGCTGCTGAAGAATAACTTGTTCAGCTTGTACTGCCACTACAGGTAAAACAGTGTTATGGTAGATTGAAAAGCAAAAATTTCCTTGGCTAAATAATAAAATTAACTCTGATCAAAGCCATTCACCTATTTTCATGAAAACCAAAAATGTAACCCTGTTGTGACTTCATCTTTCCTGCAGTATCTTGGAGTTCTAATCCACCAGAGCTATGGTTGCAAGAATTGCAACCATAACAGTATACATTTTCTTGCCCCCTAAGTACTGGAAACATTTAAAGCTTATTGCAATATTTCCCTATTTAACATAATTATGTAGAAATGCAAAGTACTTTCAATTAACTTACTTTTAAAAATTATGTTGACTAATTAGGAGCAGGAATATGTATGCAATATTGTCTTGTGCTCTGTCCTGCTCCTAGGTTCGCTTTGTCAACAGCACATGGATATTTGGGAAGGCCATGTGCCACATCAGCCGGTTTGCACAGTACTGTTCTCTCCATGTCTCTGCCTTGACCTTGACAGCCATTGCAGTGGACAGGCGCCAGGTGAGAACTCTCTTATGTGGGATGGGCGAACTTGGAAGCCTTTTATAAAAATTAAAGCGCTGAAGATGTTTTCCTGGTGACAGCGCCAGTCTGGCATTCTAAAGCAACTTCCTGGGGATTCTCCACTTTTTTGGTGCCACTAACAGACTTCTATTCCACATTTGGTGACGAGTGCCCAAGATACTCTGAAGGCAGACTATTGGAAATGTTTTTGTGTCAGGATCAGCTTGAGAAACTGCAAGTCACTCCTGGTGTGAGAGTATTGGCTGTCTGCAAGGACATTGCCCAGGGGATGCCCGGATATTTTGATGTTTTACCATCCTTATGGGAAGCTTTTCTCATGTCCCTGCATGGGGAGCCGTAGCTGACATATGGAGCTCATCTGCGCTCTCCCCAGATTCAAACCTGCGAACTATCAGTTGGAATGTTATCACATCTGTAACTACCTAGGGAGTTTATCACACAAGGTAGAAAAATTGTAATTACAGCAGGACAACCGTGTTTTTGGTTAGGATTTATTGCATGATATTGTTTCTCTCTCTCACCACTCTTTGGATGGAGATAGCTTGGAAAGTGTTTCTCCTACGCTAATAATCCATTAATGACCTCCTTTTGCAAAAGAAACACCTTCTTAGGTTCTCCCACCCAGAGAATAACAGAAGAGGGCCAGTCTTGTACAATAACTCCTGCTGGTCTCCTGCTGTAATTGTGATCTACTAGCCTCTTGTAATAAGTTCCTGAGTAGTTCCCTAAAATAGTTTTACTAAATGTCTTTGAAAGAGAACTAGACAATTTAATTAGTCAGAGCAGACCAAACACCTTATCCTGAAAATTCCTTAGAGTAGCCTACCTTGGGTATAGTAAAAGGCATTGACCTGTATTTAATTTTCAAATAAGATTCTCTTACCTTTCTATTCCAAGTTCTCTGTGTGATTTGCTGAACTAGGTTTGCAATCTTCTCCTCAAGAGCAAAATGTCTTAGTTAACTGTGAGGATATTGATAATGGCCATTTATCTTAATAACTGTATTCTTCCTCCTGAATCAGATCCACTATGACTCTGAATAACAGTTGCTGAGGACCATGAGCAGAAGAGTGCTATTGGACTCAAGTCCTGCTTGTGGGCCTCCCATTAGGCATCTGGTTGGCCATTGTGAGCAACAGGATTTTGGATCAAGTAGATCTTGGCAGAAGTGGCTTTTTAAAAATCTCAGCACTCAGGAACTCCCAGCCAGTATCATGACTAACTGTGGTGGTTTAATATTGAAAACTGAAAGGAAGAAAATCAACTCATTTGAAATATGTTCTGACAAAGAGTTCTATGCATCCTATGCAGTGGTTCCCAACCTTTTTTTGACCAGGGTCCACTTAACCAGAGACCATATTGGCCAGGGACCACCTTGACCAGAGACCACTTTGACCAGGGTCCAATTTGACTAGGTACTACTTTGACCAGTGACCACTTTGACCAGAGACCACTTTGATCAGAGACCACTTTTGTCAGAGTTAGACTCTCCAGTCTCAGCACAGCAAGTGTGAGGTTTCCAAAATAAACAGACTCAGTCATCACACAGCATTTTTCTTAAGTTCCAAGATAGCTTTTACTAAAAGCGTCTATACACAAGCAACTACATGATGAGCAGGAAAAAATGGCGACTAACACAGTACAGGACAAAACATACAGGCAATGTAAACATCCTGCCCTTCAAGCTGGGTAACTCCCTTTTTCTTCTCTGGGCAAAAGAATTTCTGTTATCTCTGTCTCAAGGATTTTTACTCTCACTGCCTCTAATAACAATTCTAGTACACAGCTAAATATAACTGAATCCATCTTTGAAATGCAATACTAATACAATGCAATACTAATACAAACACATTGAAAAACATACATGTGAAATACCTACAACTATCCTGGCAACTTTGACCAGGGACTTCTCTCCAACATTAGTACCAAAAGGGTTACAAATCGGTTTTGGTAAACTTTATATTGGTTTGGTTGTTTGGGGTGCTCATTCAGAAAATTGCATTGGATAGACCACATCAGCTCCAGTTTCTGATGCAGAATATATGCCATCCAGTAGCCGCCATCTGCTCACTCACAGAAAACCATAATAAATAATCTAGAGCTGATGTGTCTATCCAATGCAATTTTCTGAATCAACATCCCAAATAACCCCAGGAACAAGCCTAAAAACTAAGACACCAAAGCTCCTCCGGTTCCAGGCACCACATGGAACAACTCCACTCAGGGGGAGGGACAAGGAGAAACAGCAGTCAGGAGGCTTGTTGTCCTGTCTTTAGTGGGTAGTCATCCTCTCCCCTCCTGACATCCCCATTGCCTCAGCACTTTTTTTTTTGTCGTGTCAGGAGTGACTCCTGGTGTGAGAGAATTGGCCGTCTGCAAGGACGTTGCCCAGGGGACGCCTGGATGATTTGATGTTTTATCATCCTTGTGGGAGGCTTCTCTCATGTCCCCGCATGAGGAGCTGGAGCTGATAGAGGGAGCTCATCCACCTCTCCCCGGATTCAAACCTGCGACCTGTCGGTCTTCAGTCCTGCCGGCACAGGGCTTTAACCCACTGCACCCACCAGCACTATAAGAGGGTTTCACAAGACCAGTTGCTCTCATTGCAACCGTGTAGTAACGGTGAGGCCGCGGGCCATATTTTAGTTCTGGGGACCACTGGTGGTCCACAGACCACAGGTTGGGAACCACTGATATATAGATATTTATCTTCAGAGAAACTCAAATAATTCACATTTGCCTGTTAAGGCTTATCCCCAATACAGCCATACCATAAAACATACAATTGTATTTTTAAAAATAAACATATTTTCCCAATACCCTAGGGGTGAGAAAAGTGGTATATAAATACTATAAATAAAATAATATATATGTATGTTTATAATATTCAATGATATGTTTTGCAAATAGGTGATTCTTCATCCTTTGAAGCCTCGGATCTCTACCACAAAAAGTGTTGCTTGTATTTGCATCATATGGCTAATGGCAACATGCTTCTCACTTCCACACGCCATCTACCAGAAACTATTCAGTTTTGAATACAGGTAAATCAAATTTCTTTGTTCCTGGGCAGTCATTTTTTACTGCAGTCTCCTCGCTAATTAAGTAATTATAGCATTAGCCAGACCTTATTGTACCAGAAGGTTGACTATTGAGTCTCACTGGAGGATCTAGAATAGTTTGTATTTCATATTATAAGAGAGAGATTGGATGCAACTTAATAATATGCAAATACAAAGCGAAAAGAACAGGAAAGTCTTGAGACTTCCAAAGACTATTTTTTTCTTCATGTGGAGATGTCCTTAGCTGTATTAGTCTCTTAATGTGACATCTGAATGCTCACCTCTTTTTCCTTCTTTTTGTTTTTGCCCTGCCTTTGACTTTCAGCAAAGATGTCACACGATACCTGTGTCTTCCTGACTTTCCTGAGCCAGCAGATTTATTCTGGAAATACCTAGATTTGGCAACATTCATCCTCCTCTACATTCTGCCTCTTCTCATTATCTCTCTCAACTATCTGACCATCGCCAAGAAGGTCTGGTTCTGCAATGCCATTGGGGTTGTAACAGCGGAGCAATATTATGTCCTTCAGAAGAAGAAGCGGATGACTCTTAAGATGCTACTGGTGGTTGTGGTCATTTTTGCCATCTGCTGGTTCCCTTTGAACTGCTACGTCATCCTTCTCTCCAGCCAAGTCATCCAGGCCAACAACGGCCTCTATTTCACTTTCCATTGGCTGGCCATGAGCAGCGCCTGTTACAACCCATTTATTTATTGCTGGCTTAATGATAATTTCAGAGCAGAATTGAAGGCCCTGCTCAATGTATGTCGGAAAACCACTGGTCCAAGGGAGTAAGAACGCACTCTCTGATAGCTCCAACCTGCAGGGTAGCTTGGCTACAGAATAACAATTCTCTTGATCTTCCAGTGGCTTCCAGTTTTCTTTTGGGAAGGACTGGACAACTGTTAGTTGAGCCGGTAGTTGCTGTGAGTTGAATGATGTGGCAAAGTTGCTGAAAGTTGAATGATGTGGCAAGGATGTGGATCATCTTTCCGGGCACAAGGAATGACTGATTGTCGAAGGCTTTCATGGCCGGAATCACTGGGCTGTAGGTTTTTTTGGGCTGTATGACCATGTTCTAGAGGCATTCTCTTCTGACGTTTCACCTGCATCTATGGCATCTCTGAGGATGCTTGCCATAGATGTAGGTGAAACGTCAGGAGAGAATGCCTCTAGAACATGGTCATATAGCCCGAAAAAACCTACAACAACCCGAATGACTGATTGCAGAGGAAATTTTGCCTTGTCTGTTTGTGTTTGGCTTGGTTCACTGGCTTGAGTTTTCGGAAGCCCTGAGGGGCTGCCCATGTGCTCCTATGTTGTGCATCTGTACTTGCAGCTTGGTAAAGACTTCAAAGACCAATGCAATTTGTCACGGTAACCCTTATGAGTTGTTGATTTGGGCCAATGTGTGGGGGACCCTAAGAAATAGGTTGTACATGCTGGTTGAGTTCAGAAAGAGAGGGCAACCAGAGGTGGAGTGGAGCTGTAATTGCTATGGTTGTTCACCTTGAATAAAGTTGTGGTATTTTAGTTGTGTATTTAGGAGGGAACACAAGGGTAAATTCTTTGTAGTGTAATTTCTATATTACATTTGCTTCTTTCTGTTTTGTATTTTATTTAGGGCTTTAAAGTTTCATCCAGGTGTTGCAATACTGAGCAACACAGGCAGACGAGTCTTGCAGTCAGGTCCTGTTTCGGCACCTCATTGAAAATTTTGGGACAGTGCTTATGTGTCAAATTTAATATGCAATTTGTTGTATTTTAAAAAATATATTGAAATTTGAAGTGCAATTGTGTTTGGAATATTCAATCACTATAGAAAACAGAAAGAAGTACATCAGGACAAGAGAATGCAGACTGAAGTATGTTAGATGACATCTTTGTCCTAGCCTCAGAGTGTTGCAATGGAGCCTTTTGAACTAATCACTAATAAATGGCAAAAAAAAATTCTACCACTTTTATTGATGTTCTGTTTGTATTGATAATTTTGGATAAAGATCTCCTTTTCTAAAAATGACATATAATCAAGACTTTGAAATTGTTGCCACTTTTCCTTTTGTAGGTTATTTATACCTGGCAGGTTTTATTTATTCATGTCTTGTTATTATTGTTGTTGTTATTTACAGTATTTATATCCCGCCCTTCTCACCCCAAAGGGGACTCAGAGCCACTTACAGAACACATATATTGCAATCATTCAATGCAGATTATACAATACAATGAACAAGGACAACACAAACAGAGGTAAAGGCAAACTTTCCATCTTATTTCCGGCATCTTGGAGGCTGTGTTCAACTCTGACCACGAGGGGTGCTGTTGCTTCATCTTCTATTGTGAGGAGCTTTCCTCCGATCGATGTTGTTAAATGTATTGTCGAAGGCTTTCATGGCCGGAATCACTCAGTTCTTGTGGGTTTTTTCGGGCTATATGGCCATGTTCTAGAGGCATTTCTCCTGAATGCCTCTAGAACATGGCCATATAGCCCGAAAAAACCCAGAAGAACTGGATGTTGTTAAAGGCACCTTTTATTACCTCCCCGCTAAAAGTGGTACCTATTTTATCTACTTGTATTTCTGCTTTGGACCTGCTAGGTGGGCAGGTGAGCTGGGGCTAATGGTGGGTGCTCATCCCACCTGGGCTCAAACTGATGATCTTCCGATTTTTCTGCAGGATTTTTCTGCAGCACAGCAGTTTAGCCTGCTGTGCTAAGCCTGCGCCCTGTGTCCTTGCAGATAAGCTTAATTTTTCCTTAGATTATAGTATGCCTGTGAAACGTGGACTGTCTACAGATGTCACATGCAACTCCTGGAACGATTCCATCAGCGCTGCCTCTGGAAAATCCTGCAAATCTCTTGGGAAGACAGGCGGACAAATGTCAGTGTGCTGAAAGAAGCAAATAACACCAGCACTGAAGCGATGGTCCTCCGCCATCAACTCCGCTGGACTGCCATGTTGTTCAAATGCCCAATCACCATCTCCCAAAGCAGTTGCTCTACTCTGAACTCAAGAATGGAAAACTGGATGACAGGAAAAGAGATTTAAAGATGGGCTCAAAGCCAACCTTAAAAACTCTGGCATAGACACTGAGAACTGGGAAGCCCTGGCCCTTGAGCGCTCCAGCTGGAGGTCAGCTGTGACCAGCAGTGCTGCAGAATGTGAAGAGGCACAAATGGAGGGCGAAAGAGAGAAACGTGCCAAGAGGAAGGTGCGTCAAGCCAACCCCAACTGAGACCGCCTTCCACCTGGAAACCAATGCCCTCACTGTGGGAGAAGATGCAGATCAAGAATAGGGCTCCACAGTCACCTACGGACCCACCAGAATACCAATCCTGGAAGACTATCCTACTCGGCCAAAGAGGGATCGCCTAAGTAAGTAAGTAAGTAAGTGCTTTCTGCAATTTATGCAGAGTGCAAATGTAAATGAATTCTCAGTCTATGTAAAATGCTGTGTAATTCTTGGAATCACTCATTTGTTCACATCCATGGATTTCACACACTCTTACTTAAAAATGAATATTTCCCTTACATCACATTGTTAAGGAAAATGGCTATGTTTTATTTCACCAATTAAACACACACATCTGAGGGTGGAGATCAGAAATGAAGTGTATTAAGAGAGGGAAAAAAGAAAAAAAAGGAGAAAGGTGCCTCTCAACCAGAATGAAAGTGATCTGCCGTGCAGCCATTAAACTTGCTGATTGAGAAAAGCCTATTGCTCTGTAGAAGCGCACAAATATGCAAAGTTCAATCTTTGACATTTTAGATAAAAGGATTCTCTGTAAGTGGTGAGACACTTTTCAGACCCTTTCCAGAATGATGGCAGCCTTTACTGCTGAAATTACACCTGCAAAATGGGGATAATTATAATGACCAAAATAAGACATTTTTTGAGATGTGCATTTGAGTTTCAGTACGAATTATTGCTGGGTCCATCAAAGTAGGATGAAGTGCTGCGGGAAAGGAAATGAAGACATTGAAATGGGAGGGGATACAATAGCCACATTTAAATATTTGAAAGGGTGTCACATTGAGGAGAAGGCAAATTTGTTTTCTGGGTTGCTGTAAGTTTTCCGGGCTGCATGGCCATGTTTCAGAAGCATTCCCTCCTGACATTTCACCACATATATAAGCCCCACTTGCCTAGTTTTAACAGACCTCACAACCTCTGAGGATGCCTGCCATAGATTTGGGTGAAACATCAGGAGAGAATGCTTCTGGAACATGGCCATACAGCCTGGAAAACTCACAAAAACCCAGTGACTCCGGCCATGAAAGCCTTCAATAACACAATTTGTTTTCTGTTGCTCTGGAGACTAAGGACCTTATCAGACACACTTTAAAAACAGTTTAAAGTTGGAACCCCATGGAGCCCATCATATGATGCAAGACTACTTCCTGTCATTCCCCGTGCGACTCCATCTTAAAAAATATGCTTAAAGTATGTAGAAATTGAGGTTTTAGAAGTCGGGTACCAATAATCTTCAGAGCTCTTGATTAACACACAAGCAAAGTGGAATTGAAACTTGGCATTGCAACAACAACAACAAAAACAAAAACTTTATTTATATATTGCTCTATCTCCCTGAGGGGACTCAGAGTGGATTCTAAATAACATAATCAATACATACAAAGAAAACAGCATAAACATAAAATTAACAAGACAATATAAGCATTAAAAACCACAATAGCACATATATATTTAAAATAATCCTGCCTGTTCAAGGCAATTTAAAAGGCCGGCCGGGGCTAGTGCAATTTTAGAGGGCCTGGGAAATTAGGTAGAGTCTATGGCTGTACATTTCCAGGGCCTATTAGAAGAAAGTGACCTGGGTAATTGGTAGAAAAAGATATGGCCAATTTCAACAGTATCTGGGGCAGAGCTAGAACTAGTCATTCTCAAAGGTTTGTTTAAACCACCAGGTCTTCAGGCTCTTACGAAAGGAGGGGAGGGATGGGGCCTGTCTTATTTCTCCAGGAAGGGCATTCCAGAGGGGGGCCATCACCAAGAAGGCCCTCTCTCTCGTCCCCACCAACCGTGCTTGTGGCGGTGGTGGGAGCGAAAGGAGGGCCACCCAAGAAGATGAGATTGTGAAGATAGGCGGGGCCTGAACCATTTAGGGCTTTATAGGTCATAACCTGAATCTTGAATTTGGCTTGGCAGTTTATTGGCAGCCAGTGAAACTGTATTAAAAGAGGTGTTGTATGCTCCCTATAGTTTGCTCCAGTAAGGAGTCTGGCTGCCGTCTGTTGTACCAGTTGGAGCTTCCGGGCCGTCTTCAAGGGTGGCCCCACATAGAGCGCATTGCAATAGTCCAATCTGGATGTAACCAAGGCGTGGACCATACTGGCCAAGTCAGACTTCATGAGGTATGGCCGCAGCTGGCGCACGAGTTTGAGTTGTGCAAAGGCCCTCCTGGCCACCGCTGACACCTGAGCATCAAGTGACATCGTTGAATCCAGGAGGACCCCCAAGCTATGGACCTGCGCCTTAGGGGGAGTGTAACCCCATCGAGCACAGGTTGCCACTCAATACCCCGGTCGGCCCCACGACTGACCAGGAGGACCTCTGTCTTGTCTGGATTAAGCTTCAACCTGTTAGCCTTCATCCAGTCCATCACAGCAGTCAGACACTGGTTCAGGGTCTGGGAGGCTTCCTTGGAGTTTGGTGGAAATGAGTAGTAGAGTTGGGTGTCATCTGCATACAGATGGCACCCAACACCGTATGACCTCACCCAGTGGTTTCATGTAGATATTAAATAGCATGGGGGGATAGAATGGAACCTTGTGAGACCCCATAGGTCAAAGGCCATTGGCCCAAGCAGATATTCCCCAGCTTCATCAATGGGAGTGACCCTCCAGGAAGGAGCAGAGCCACTGCAAAGCAATGCACCCAAGACCCACCCACTGAGCTGCTGAACTTGCTGACCAAAATGTCGCAGGTTCAAGTCCAGGGAGCCGTGTGAGCTCCTGCAGTTAGCCCCAGCTTCTGCCAACTTAGCAGTTCGAAAATATGCAACTGTGAGTAGATCAATAGGTACCGCTCTGGCGGGAAGGTAACAGCGCTCCATGCAGTCATGCTGGCCACATGACCTTGGAGGTGTCTATGGAAAA